GCCTCTTCAACGCAAGATTTATTTTGACAAAGTTTAAAGTCTATATAAAGAGAATTCCCTTCAAAACGTACTAATACTAATTTATATTATCAACGTTTCTGGAAAATAAGTGAATTACATTGTAGTTCTTTTATTTGTCTATATATCTACCCCATTATATGAGTTTATTGTATGTATTAAAATTATTAATATGTAATATTTGCGGATATACATATATAATACTAGCGACTCCGTCCGTCCTGCCTAGGTAACATACCTAACGGTAACCTTAACGGTTAGTATGGAAAAGATAGATTATATATTATATATACATAGGTGTGATAAGTTGTTGTGGGTTGTATTATAACGTGTTTTTCCGTAAGAATGAGATAATCTCCCGCGGTTAAGATGTCACTTTCCAGCCCTCCAAATAATTATCTCCGTACAAAAAATCATGCCAATCCGTCATTTTGTTTCGGCGTGAAAGAAGGACAAACAAACAAATACACTTTCACATTTATAATATTAAATATAATATTCTATACATGTATATGGTTTAAGTATATATAGAATATTTTAGTGCTATACTAAATGGCAACTAATATGTACATATTACGTCGGTTTGTTTCGTATTTACTAATAATATTAATTTGATAATGTGGCTGTTACCTTATATTAAACATATCTAAATAAAATATGATATAAAGATAGCTGGATTTTAGTAGACATAGGATATTATTTTGTTAGATTTACGCGAACCAAAAATCAAAATAAATACGTGAAAGATAGCTTTATTTAAAGAGACGTTATAGTGTGTTCAAATGACCTTATTGAATTTAGCTTTCTATATTTGTTATTTATATTCTATTGTAAAGGAATTTTCAGTAACTTTTTAGAGATTACCTACACGCTACATACAAACTTACAAACATTCCCTATTTACATAGATAAAATAACATCTATTACTATGAGTTTGTTATTTGTATATCTACATTAAAATAAATTCCAGTAAGTGCTATAGGTTTGTTTGAATGTTATTAAAATTTAACAACCACTGTAGTTTTCTAGCGGACGTAGCAAGCAGCACCCCAAGTTTACTCACCGTCGACTCTAGTGACAAATCCGCCGAAGCGATTTTGCTCAGATTCGCAATTCAGATTGAATGTCGAAGAATGAATATCGAAGATTTTTGGCACTATTCATTGCAGTAGTACTTTGTTCAGCAATGGTCAAATGTAAACGTCTTGTTTTCTATAATAAAGAATATAGAAGAAGTTATATAAATATTATAATGAAACTAAAGTTATACTATTTTTTTTTCTCTTTATCGTAAAAGTTTATAAAGTTGATAGTGAAAACTCTTATAAAAAACTACTAGCACCTTTTTGGTAACATCAAATTGTACCATTTTAAACAAATATACATACATGAAATAAATAGATTTCAATATTATAAAATATTTTCGTGAAAAATCCTTAAACAGCAAAAAAATATACTCGTATTATGTATTATATTTCCTCTCTCTTATATATACGACGTAAATATCGACTTTGAAATATCTAATATTTTTAATAAATTTGAAATTAATATGCCAAGCAATCTTCAAAGTTTATTAATTTTAATTAATAATTCGTTTTCTATTTATTTAAAAAAAATAACCATTCCTGTTAGTAATATTCTGTATTAAGTGCTATTAAAATGATAAATGGTTTATATGAAATTTGTTACAGTTGAAATTACTGAAATGTATACAATAAATCATGGCTACGCAGTCAGAGCAAGGCACAACGTTTTGCACTCTAGTAGTTAAATAGAGTAATTTGCTTAAGGCATTTCTACCTTAAATTAAATTTTCGTTTGTTTTGACGGAATTCTACGGATATTTTAGAAAACTAAAAAAATTATATTAAGAGAAAAGTATGGTTTTCAATATATAAATATCTTAAATTAGTATGTGTATTTCCCATTCCTTCATTAATAATAAACAACATCATAATACAGCCATACTAATATTATAAATGTGAAAGTGTGTTTGTTTGTTTGTTTAATACTTTCTTAGATTTACCCGAATATTTGACATTTTAAATAAAACTATCTTTTCGGATTTTGTCGCGGATGTCGCAATACAACATCTGCTGTCTGCAAACACAGTCAGGACCGCCCAAGCCATTATATTCGCTTCGATAGGCCTCAAATCCTGGCGAAAGAAAACCGATATCGCCCTAGAATGATTCGAGAAGCCATAGAAATTAAAAAACATCCTAATTTCAATAGGGAAGATGGCTGGGTACTACCATCGTCATGGGATCCTGTTATTAATATAATAAATCTAAACATAACAGACAGGTAGATGTAGTAAGTTCTTACTGTGTAGATTAAAATGATAGCATTTCTGATTAATAATATTTTTTCACTTTTTCATTTGTAAATGTATGTAGTAATGTGTTGCTTAATAATTTGTTTTTAAATAATAGCAAATTTAAATTAAAATTATTATTTTTTAATTAATCTTAACTTTTTCAAATTACACATAGATCAATTGTGGCTTAAATAATTAATACTATATTTTATATTTTTCTTATGGTTATAAATATAATAATGGCAACACTAAATATAGATTGCTAATTAATATTTTTAAAATTGTAATAATTATAAAAATAATAGCAAAAATTAAATAAATAATTTTCCATATTCAATTATAATTAAAATTATAAAAATATTTAAAGTTAAAATATAGTAATGTAATTGGTGCAATTTTCATTTTGTTAATTGTGGGTAGGCTGTCTGTAACAACTATATCTTTAAGACATGTAACACCTCAGTCTCTCCCGTGACCATGGATGCTGTAAAGCATTCGAAACGTCGGGAAACAAAAATACAAATAAATCCGCGACAAAATCCGAAAAGATAGTTTTTTTTTAAAATATTTGTTTGTTTGTTTGTTTGTTTGTCCTTCTTTCACGTCAAAACGGAATAGCTGATTGGCGTGATTTTTTGTGTGGAGACACTTGGAGGGCTGGAGAGTGACATAGGCTAGTTTTTACCGCGGGAGAGTATCTAATTCCCACGGGAAAACACGTCATAATATAATCCAAAAAACATTTATGATCAGAATTACTTAAACTTTGGTATTAATGCTCTTCAATAAAATTAAATAAATACGTGTTTCAACATTTTTTGAAATTCATCCTATAAGGGGGTAAAACAGGAAGTGAAAGTTTCTATGAAACTACCCTTTTAGAGATTATTTTGTAATTTTAGTGCGAGTGAAGCCGCGGGTTCTGCTAGTAATATATATCTTTAATAAAATTACTATGTTATTAACTGCCTCGGTGGTGTAGTGGCTAGCATGTACGGTTGCACACCCGGAGGTCCTGGGTTCGAGTCCCGGGTCGGGCCAAGTTTAGTTATTGAGTCTTCCTGTATAGTAAGTCTCAGTAACAGCCCGGAGTTGGGCTGTTTTAAGTTGGCGGTGTTTCACCCCCGTGCCTCGGAGAGCACGTAAAGCCGTCGGTCCTGCGCCTTAACTCTCACCGGTCGTGTCGAGTGGTCGTCCCACCGGAGTATGAGAGTGATAGGAATAGAGAGTGCACTTGTGTCTGCGCGTACACTTGAGCACTATAATATCTCCTGCGCAGTTGGCTAATCTCATTGAGATTGGCCGCCGTGGCCGGAATCGGCTAGGAGAACATCATCATCATGTTATTATAACTAATAACTAAAAACTTTTTAATATATGTTTTCATTTTCTACTTTTTTTATTCTTTTACTGTACATATTTAAAACATTTTAAAAATAAAATAATGGCTTATTTGAACATTTTGATCCATAGAACTAATAAAAAGATAATTTTTGTTGTAAACACTTTTGTAAATAAGTCTACATCTATAATTATTAGAAAAAAATGTCCCATTTTGGTGCCTTGTAATTAGATATTATAAAAGGGGCATATGGATGCGGACGTTCGTACGTCAATTAATTTCATTAGCCCTAATGCTCCTAATAAAGAGCAACATGTGTTTATTTCGATGTACACTCAACGTGTTGGTTTTATTGCCGCTTAGAGTCTGGTTAGAAGATTTATAGGATGTGGGCTATTTGTGCGGCAGTTGTTTTTAATTTTAATGTGATCTGTATTGAGTTGCATCATATGCGAATGGGTGAAACTATTTTGTGGGATGAATCATTTCATGGTGCTCCAATGCAATATGCGACATGATTTTTTCCGATATCTTCAACAATGATCGTCATATTTCAACCAATTGACACAAAACCTAATACACGTAAATCTTTCTCTCAAATCACTCCATATATTGAAAACCGCATGAATTTTTTCTGTAGTTTTTGTTCAGACAGACAGACAGAAAAACAGACGTGACGGGGCACTTTATTTTATAATATGTAGTAATGAGTTTTAGCATGATTATTTCGCATTTTATATTATTATTATTATAATAATGCATTTAGCAGCGGTAGCGCAAGCAACGCGCTCGCTTGCAAAACCAAGTACAGCGGGTTTAAACCACCTCTGGGTATCGCACCTCTGATTTTTATGTGTAGGTATACCGTTTTCAACAAAATGACATTTGAAATTTGCCTTACAGAACACATCACGAGGAAACCTGCAGGTTTTAAAGAAAACAAAAATGTCTGGGTTCTCTCAAACAGGTTTGCAGGTTTTCTCAGGCTAGCCTGATGGACTTTGCCTTTGGCCTCTCCTCTCCTATCTCCCTTGTATTTCAATACAATACGGGTCTACCCTCAGGCAAGTTGCAAGCACGATGGGACGATAGAAAGGCTCAATATATTTAATACAAAAGGCAAACGTCTCAATGTCCAATTTAAACACGATCGTTGTGAAGTAGCCAGCGCCACCAGAACACAATACTATTTCGTGACAAAAATAGTGCTGACAATAGTGAAATACAAAAACAAGAGAATTTGATAATGAAATAGAAAAACAATATGTATATAAATATACCTCTTCATTTTAATTAAATTAGTTTTGTGTTTTGTTTTAGATGTCCCTCGTGGAGATAGCGTCGGACTCTGCAATGCGGGAAGAGATAATACGCAACATTCATAAGTTTTGTACACCACATTCGGTAATTAGTTTTTCTTAATTTTCATTCTTGGTAAATAATTTAATATATGTAGTTTTATAACATAAAATTGTTGCGAGTTATTAATTATTTTTTTCGTTTCTTGGTTTCTTTATCTAAGTGTCGTATTTTTAACTGACTTGGCGATTATTACCTACTTTTCAAGTCAAGAAAAGGCTTCAAAGGCTTTCATTTTAACTTCATTTGTATCTAGCTAAGCTATAGCAGAGATGTGAAGAGACGTGCAGTTCTATATCTATAGTATCTATAGTATCTATAGTTTTATATCTATGCGAAGAGACGAGCGGTTCTATAATTTTTGGGATATTTTTAATTGAAATTTATTGAATAAAAAATTATTTTTTATAAGTAATAAAATCATATGTAATAGTACAATATTAAGTTTTAAAGGTTTTCATTTTATTAATTTTTTGCTTTAACTTCTACATTTTTCGAATCTAAACTTTTTACACTGACAGTTTCTTGTTTTTTTTTAATGATATATGTATATGAGATAAAACGTTACTTTAAATCTGAATTTACGATATCCTTATTAAAGTTAATTATTATCGATTTCATATATATTTCATAAGCTCTAAAATCAGTAGGCATTTAAAGTTTTGATTTCTTTAGCCAGTAAGATGATATTATTCATTTACGAACGGTGCCATTTATACTAAATCATCCTTTGCCGTCGTCAATAAACCGCCTATCGTATTGTATTGTAATTGGGGAGGTTTTGAGGAGGTCTCGAGTTACTGAAGTATAGAATTACTTACAAATAATAGACAGACAATCAATTATGGAGGGACAAACAAATTTCTTTCTACTTTTAGTAATACATATGTACGTTTCCTTCCAGATAGAATTCTGGCAATGTATGAACCAAACTATACAAGGTAAGTTATTTATAAAATATTTCTCTTAATATGACCTCTATAAAGTTTTTTAACAATAAACTAGCATATTCCTATTCCGGACTAAGAGAAATCCAAAAATTAAAATATCATAAAAATTGGAACGCGGTCGAACGGGATAAAAAGTATCCTATGTCCTTCTCCTGGCTCTAAACTACCTCCCTGCCAATTTTCAGCTAAATCGGTTCAGCCGTTCTTGAGTTATAAGCGAAGTAACTAACACGACTTTCTTTTATATATATAGATTTCTCTTAATATGACCTCTATAAAGTTTTTTAACAATAAACTAGCATATTTTTAACAATAAATGTCATATGGACGGACGCTATTGTACCTAACATACAGATGACATAATACTCTACTCATCATACTAATGTTATAAATTTGAAAGTGTGTTTGTTTGTCTTTCTTTCACGTCGAATCGGAGTGACAGATTGGCTTGATTTTTTGTGTGAAGATAGTTTGAGCGCTGTAGAGTGACATAGGCTACTTACTCTTTACCGCGGGAGATTATCTAATTGCCACGGGAAAACGCGTTATAATAACAACTCAAAAAAATATTTATGATCGGAATTACTTGAAACTTGGTATTCATGCTCTTCAATACAGTTAAATAAATCAGTGTTTTAGCATTTTTCGAAATTCATCCTATAAGGGGGTAAAATAGAAGATGAAAGTTTGTATGAAACCTACTTTTTTAGAGCTTTTTTTGTACTTTTAGCGCGAGCGAAGCCGCGGGTTCTGCTAGTAGGTAATATGTACTATCTAGCACAGTATTATGTGATCTGTGGTTCTACATTTTATCTCGTATAGAATAAATACGTAATCGGATATTAAGATATTTATAGAAGGCAAAAGTTAACCCTTCATTTTTACGAACTACTAATTTAATACATGAAAATAGAAGTAATTATAAATTTAAACTTAGTTATAATTTTCAGAAGTAGTAAGTGGATCAGGTTGGTGGGGCCGCGCGTGTTGTGCTCTAGGACACCACACGCCGTGTCGCCACGCTTGCGCCACAGCATCCGACGCTACAGAATTAACAGAACCATGCCGCCGCTCTGATGAGATTGCTCTCTTTGACTGCATACAGAGACAACAAGAGGCGCAATGGTGTTGCTGTAAGTAAGGGGATTTATAATAATGTATCCAAATTATAAATTACAAATATAAAAAATAAAACCTATTTGGTAATTTAACGAGTCATAACTCATATATGTAGTTGATAATAACAGGGAAAGATCTTCTGTTATTCGAATATTTTTTACTTATCTACTTTCACTTAAACTCCAGACTGTAGCTTTATCTACGCTATAGTTAATAAATAATTAACTTTTATTACTAAGTGTATAAGATATATATGTAAATTCAATATTTTTATAAACAGCTCAAACTCAATCCTTGTCCTGCCACGAAGCATGTAGACGCGCAGTTTGGAAAGTCGGCCAAACCCGCGCTGATAGCACCACGAGGGAACGTGCTATCGAATTGTGTGAACAATCACCACAGTTATTGAACTGTGTAAGGGATCTTACTGCTTCTTCAGTCCATACTGATACTTCTAAGTGTGAGTACATGAAATCTAGTAAATATTGCTTTATTATTATAATTATTTCCGAGGTACGAGGATAAAACACCGCCAACTTCTCAACTCCGGGCTGTTTCTTAGAATTTTTTAACAGAAAAGTGCAATAACAATACTTCGTTAGTCCCGGGACTCTAAAAGCTGGGACTTTGGGAGCCTAGAACCAAGGATCTGAATCCTACATGTTAGCCACTACACCGAGGCAGTTAGTATTTTTTCCTTTGCTTTTATAAATACACCATATATTAATAATTATTTTATTCGCAGATTTACCGTGCTGCCATGAATCGAAAATTCCAGAATGTCGTAACACATGCGAAACGATATTGAAAAGGACTGGCGAATCTCAAGAGATAGCAGAAGTATTATCGGTAGAATGCGGCGCTCCCGCAATACATGACGGCATGTGGCAGTGTTTTCTTAGAAAAGACGCACCGCCTGAAACCAAAGATGTTATACCACATGATGTAGCGAAGTTACATTGTTGCTCAAAGGTATTTTCTTACTTCCTAAAATCAAAATCTATTAACATTTAAACGAAAAAACAATTAATGGTGTGGGAGACATGTTTTACTGGTTTCGTTTCATTCTAAAGCTTTTAGGTCAAAAGAAGAGATTGAGTAAAGCAAACATGCGAAACACGACAAAAGAGATAACTCTACTTACAGAGAGACAACATGCTATATTGTCTGTTGCCTATCTCTCCTCTCAATAAGGGAAAACTCTTAGGAATAAGGACTGGAATCAAATATTGGTGAAGTTCTCTATAGTTTGAATTAAACGAACTTTTATAAATTACTTATTTTGTGATTCCCTAAGTTTTTATAGAGTGTAAGCATAGTATAATATCTTATTTCAGGGTGCAACCATTAACTGTCGACGACTTTGTTTCAATACATTTAACAATGGCTGGCAGTTGAATTGGCAAAAGTTTTACTCAGAGTGTCTCGGTGATCCGCAGGAGACTGAAATGGCTGAATGTATAGAAGAAGGTAATCTTATCTTAGAAACATATTTCTTGAAATATGAAACATTTCCGTTTAAATAGGTATTTTCATATTTCTTCTTATTTTCACGCACTTTAAATCAGAATATTGTGAATTATAAATTTACCAACATAATTTAGCCGCCATATGTAAAACTAGCGCCTCACCCTCGCTTCGCTCGGGTTCGTCTATAGGTTGATTCCCCATACTAACTTCCATCCCCATTTTCACCCCCTTACGGGATGATTTCCGGAAAAAAATATATTTCATCTAAATCGTTTCAGTAGATCCAGAGATTACCCCCTACAACGTCACAAACTCACATACTTTACCTCTTTATAATATCAGCATAGATAATGTATAGTAAAGCTAAGACTTAGTCATTATTTAATGTCGATTATTTATTCAATATCTACGAGTATTAGTGAAGTTTATTAGTAGGCACACGTTCATGCAAATGACATCGTGTTCATGAAAGTACTGGCACTTTTAACTCTTTCTACTTATTTTATAAGAAGATATAAATCAGGTCAACAATATTTTACCTAATTTCAGTGGAGGCTCCATGTTCTCTTGGGTGCGGGGGACTGACGTACTGCAGTCAGCTCAACAACAGGCCTAAGAGTTTGTTCCGATCATGTTCGACTCCGGCTGACCTCGATGCGCACTTAGCTGTGGCGGAACAAAAGGGAAGTGGGTAAGTTTTACACTTAACTATATAATTTTCGCAATTTTACATATTATAAGTATAGTTTTAATTTTCAATCAAAATTGTTTATTTACAGACTTGTAACAGTAGCAGGACTTCGACTGCCATTGAAGAATTCAACGCAATGCACCGCGGATGTGTGGAAGAGCGTAGCTTGTGCGCTGCACGTCAAGCCTTGTACTGTTAAAGTAAGTAAATAAGTAATATTATTATCATTAAACGAGACCATATAGTCAATAGAAAATCTGGTCTTCAAAATTTTTGGATCTATCAGCTTGAAATTTGTTTGTTCTTTTAAGTATCAACTGTATTTAATTTAGACATAGGAAAAATATGCTGAATGCTTTGGATATAAATTTTGATGGTAAACAAATCAAACAAGTCGATGTAACAAAATTTTTAGGGCTCAATATTAATAGTAATTTGAATTGGAAAAAGCATATTTAGGAAATAAGCATAAAATTAGGACAATTTTCTTATGCGCTCCATATGTTGGCCAAAATAGTAAATGTTTCGACTTTATTAACTGTATATCATGCTTATGCCGCTTCATTGTTAAGATACTGCATTATTTTTTGGGGTAATTCGGCAGATAGTGATGTAACTTTTAAAGCACAAAAAAAATGTATCCGAGCAATATTTAAATTAAAAATGATTGAAAGTTGTAAACCATATTTTAAAAATTATAATATTTTGACATTTCCAAGTATGTACATCTATGAGACTATTAATTATATTAAGAATAATTTATATTTATTTGAAAAATGTAGTAGTGTAAGACATAGGGCTATGCTTCGCCACCCGCGTTGTAAGACCAATATTTTCTCGAAGAGTGTGTTTTGTACTGGACCACTTTTATATAATCATTTGCCTAAAGATATTTTAGAAATTAATGAAATTAATGTATTTAAACATAAATTGAAGAAATTTCTATTAGAAAAGACGTATTATTCAGTTAAAGACTATATGTTGGATAAGTTGTAATATATAATTTTAAACAGGTATATAGATATTGTAATTAACTAGCTAAAAAAGAATGATATAATATACATTACACAGGAAGTTAAACATAATACTGAATAATATGTTATTATGTAATATATGTTAACGTTTGTAATTTTAGGTATATTTTAATTATTGAAATATTGCATGCTGTAAGGCTGAATTTGGCTGAACATTAAATATGTTAATATCAAAATCTAAATGTATGTACTAACCCAAGTTCGCAATAAAGTGTTTGATTTGATTTGATATTATTGTTTCTTTAAGTACCTACTCTCCATTTGAATTTTTTAAAGTAAATTATATTTCTTGTTTCAGGGTCACAGCAGTCTCCTTTGCATGGAGGATTGTAAGCGCTTAGTATCGTCGTGCGTGGAGTGGTCGCGCGCGTCGCTCTCGGCGACCGCTCTTTGCGCTAGAATAGCGCCATCTAATGAAAACTCGCCTTGTGTGTCTTTGAGGGAATATATGTCACCCAGTAAGTTATTTATTTGGCTTTATTAGCCTTTAAATTGGTGTATTGTTTAGTTTTAAATTGTATTCATAATGTACGGTGTATCTATAAAAGTAAAAATTGCCTAATAAACCTATCTACGAGTACATGTGTAAATAATACCGGCCGGTCGTTACCGAACGATAACTTGTTGTTGATGTCAAACATGGTGATTATAACTGTGAACTACCGTAGATAGGTGACAGTTCCGTATTACGTATACCAATAAAGAGTTTAAAAAATTGATAAGATTTTAATATTTTTAAGGCACAGAACCACCGTTGTTATCTGCGGAGGAAATGGTGACGTCTCCGTGCGCGGGATCTCCTTGCAACTCGACTCAAGTGTGTCTCGTCAACAGGAGCTGTCGCCACGGTGGCTCGTGTCAGCGGTTTACTTGCGTTGATGGATGCCCTTTAGGTAATATATAAAAGAGGATGCTTAATACAAAGTAGTTTCAAATGTGCATGAATAGTAAAATTGAGAAACTTCAGAAGCCAAATTTGATATAAACTAAATGTCACCATAGAGTTTTTATAAATTTATTTATTATTTTGAAATATTCATAACTTTAATTAAATAACTTATAATGACTTTAATTATTAAAGCCGAAAATATGCGAATGCGAATATTCGTCCCCAATATTCGCGAATACGAATGTGAATGCGAATGTTGATTTTCAAACAAAGTGCGAGCAAAATGTCAAACAGACTGGTTTGACATTTCAAAAAATTCAAACAATTCGGTTCGACGGTTCGTTCGGAATTTCAAAAAATATGCGAATATATGCGAATGCGAATATTCGTTACATCACTAGACGATACCAAAGCGCAGATCCGACGCGGCACGTGTTCTACGAGGTACGGGGGTGTAATTCCGCCAACTTCCCAAATTCGGCTACCACTGAGAATATTTTAACAGAAAAACTCAGTAATTAAAGACCCGAATCAGCAGTCATGCATGCTAGCGTACCGTGCACTATACTACCGAGTTTAAACAATAAGTGATGACAGTATCAATAACAATGATGCCAGGAGACGGAAGTCAGTACGTGGTGCCGCTGGGCGCGTGGGTGCGCGTGCCGATGCCGTGCGGCGCGCAGCGCGCCTGCGTCAAGGTGTGCGAGTGCGGCGGCGCCGGCCTGGCGCGCTGCCAGCCGCTGCCCGCCGTCGCGCTCGACGACTGCCGGCTGCACGATAAGGATGTCAAGCATGGTAACCTATGTTCTGTTTAAGTATATTTTTGTAGTCGTTAATGACATTTAACATCTTTGTGTTGGCATTCGCTACGTCTAATAAACTATGTCATGGATAGAATCAAGTGTATGCTACGTTTACATATTTCATCTTACGTTAGGTTATTGCGTCTTATTTTTCACTTATGTAATAAGGTGTAAATTTTTGTCCTGCCAAATCACTAGTAGGCACAACGGTCAGTACGTGTTTCAGACTAATTAGGCGACATATCTCTCTCATAAAACCAGAGTCGATAATAAGATACCTACTTATTTTTTATTAAGAAAACTTTGTATTCAGCCAGTCCGATGTAGAATAACCATACTCTGCATACGCTGCTTAAAACATAAAACGACATTAATTCATTTTTATAAAATAGATGTATTAAAGTGAGATAAAATAGATGTATTATAAGAGTGTATCTGTGATGGAGATGAATTAAATAATAATTGATTAAACACCAGGCGACAAATACTACATGGAGTGCAACTCGTGCGCGTGCGTGGCGGGCGAGCGCGTGTGCGCGCGGCGCGCGTGCGGGCGCGCGCTCACCGGCCTGCCCTGCAACTGCCCGCCGCACCACCTGCCCGTGCACTCGCCCGGCCGCCTCTACCCCAACGTTTGTCTCGCTAAGTGAGTATCGTGTTTTGGAGAATAACTTAAACCGTTTTCAGACATAAAACACTTATACACTTATGATTTGCAGTGGGAGCTTAGTGACAATGTGCTTGCTTGAATTTTTTTTATCTTGAGTTGTTGTGAAGAGAAACATCGTGAGGAAACCTATATGTTTGAGAAAACCTTACTAGTTTTAAGAAATACATGCGAAGAATGCCACCCGCACTTAGTCAACGTGGTGGACTATGTCTTGATCCCCTTCGCTGCTTCGCATTGACGGCAGTGGGACGTTAAATAGACTAAATAATTATATTATTACTAGCGGCTCACCCTCGCTTCGCTTGGGTTCGCCACTAGAAAAGCACAGACAGAACTATCCCACGGGAACCGTTCATTTTTCCAGGATAAAAAGTAACCTGTTGTTTGACCTGCAATATAAGGTATCAACATGCCAAATTTTACTAAATTAGGTGAAAAAGTTGGTGTGTACTAAGCTGTATAAGTTACTATAGTTTTTTAACTATCCTACGGGAAACCTTTAATTTTCTGGGATGCAAACTATCTAAAATGTTGACCGGGGATATAAGGTACCACCATGCAAAATTTCATTTAAATCGATTTAATAGTTTCGGAGATTAGCCTGTACAAACAGACAATCAGACAGAGAAACAAAAAATTGAGAAATACTGGATTTGTTCTATTTCTCTTCTTACACCCCCCTGACTCGGTTTTTGGCATTTTTTCTATCTATGGACATTCGATCTCTACAGTTTTATTATATGTATAGATATGAATTGTATTACTTATATTACGAGATTTCATGTTGAATTTAAATAAAGCAAACAATAAGTAACATATAAATTCCAGATGTGCAGGCACCACAGATGCAGAAATCGAATTCGGCGCTCGGGACGTGTGCGCGCGGGCCGGCGGCGCGGGCGGCGCGTGCGGCCGCCACCGCGCCTGCCTGCCGCGCCGCTCCGTGTGCCTCTCGCGCCTGCAGACCGCGTGCCCGCAATATAAGTGTGGTGTGTATAATTACGCGACTTTTAACCCGATTTTAGCCACGACGGCCAATCATTATAAGGCTAGTCATGTGTGTAAGAAATATTTTTGTGTATTACTATGTCCGAAAACACTGGTGAACTCCCTTTCGAACTCCTGTAGGCCGACTATTTCACATTCGCAATGAGCGAAAAGCGTAGGGCCAAAGCGGCGCGTGCTTTGCCTCGGCATGTGGATTGTAGGATAATACCGTCATGTCTTATCTTCGGGCTGTTACTGAGAATTTATTTATTTCTCTCAAGCCCGTAACCTCCTAATCAACAGCCGTACATGCTAGCCACTAGTACATACAAAAGTAATAAACATAAGCTAATTTGTCATTAATTTTATTTGTGCAGTATTCTAAAACCCAACTTGTCTTATCAATCTTACTAATTAATTATTATAAATGTGAAAGTTGCTTGATGTATCACTCCAGAACGACTGAACGGATCTCGATGAAATATGGTACAAAGATAGATGATAGTCTCGAATAATACACAGGCTATTTTTATCCCATAATATGTACGGTTCCCGTGGGATAGATATGTCGTTGTTTTTCTAGAGGCACCGCTGAGCCGCTAGTACTACATACATTTAAGATTAGAATATTTTGAAAAAGTATAATAATGTACAGTGAACACGAGCCGGTGCGCGTCGCAGCCGGCGGCGGCGGTGTGCGACGGCGCGGGCCGCACGCACCGCAACCCCTGCAGCCTGCTCATGAGCGCGAGCAACTTCGCCTACTGGGGGCCCTGCTTGGCCGGCTGCTCCTCTGTGAGTACTTACTGTATATTGATTGACTTAAAATGCTATTTATTTATTACAGACTGCTTCCCCATACAAACTTTCATCCCCATTCTCACCCCTTTAAGGGCTGATTTCGGGATAAAAACTATTTCACTTACTCATTTTTTATATCATGGGATTTAAAAAAAATTATAGTAAAAAAATAATAATTTTCTTTTATACAAAACTTGTCCTGACAACAATAAACACAAAAAAAGAATTATCCAATTTGGTGCAGTTGATCGGAAGTTATTCGCGTGCATACATTTCGATGATTAAGTTTTATTTATATAGATTAGCGTCTTACACTTGCTTTGTACAGGCGCGTTCTTAAGTGCCTAACAATAGCCTATGTGTTCCTCCAGGTCATAGTCTGTGTACTAAATTTCATCCAAATACGTTCAGCCGTATAATTTGAACGTATTATATTTATTACTAACAAACTGCGCCTATTTTGCTTAAGCCCTAACTCCACTCGTAATTTTAGTAATCTTTCACAATATGCTTTTATGCTATAGAAAATCATATTTAAATCATCGTATTTGTTCCTCAGAAGCATGTATCATTAAAACAATTATTTTTTACTTACAGACTGGCACAGTTTGTGGTGTCAATGGCGTCACTTACTCCTCAGAGTGCGCCGCGTGGTCGGAATACGTCAGTGTGGATTACATCGGACCTTGCTACGCCGTCGGCCCCATATCTGACGTGATGGAGCCTAAATGCCAGTTCGACAGAATCATATGCCCTCCATTAAAGGCGCCTAATTGCCTCGGTTTTACAGCGCCTGGGGCTTGCTGCCCCAAATGTGGTGGGGCTCTGAGGATTTTATATTCAAAGAAACAAATCGATAGAGCCCTATATGCAACTAATATATCCGCAACAGTGATTAACTTACACAATGTACTGTCAGCATTAGATAGACACGTGAAGATAGCTGAATGCGTTCTCAGAGGATATTTGACCATTGAAACTGAAATTTTTGTCACCGTAGAATCTGTTTTGACGAATCCGACAGATTTGCAGTTAGAAGTATGTATTTTGGAAGCAGAAAAACTAGCTGATCTCATAAATCGAGAAAGTTCTTTAATAACTAGTGATTTAGGACTCAGTGCGTTGTCGTACGCATTAACTGTTCACACTTACCCAACTAAAGGTGCGTCTACTGTAAGTTTATCCATTGCTGTATTATTTACTTACCTCAGCTTTTTAATTCTGAGATAATCAATTCATATTGTACATACATATATACTACATTGTTATATTATAGTTTGTAAATAGATATTGTACATAGATTTTTTTTTACCAAATATACTTATAGCGTTATTGTATTTGAGATTATAATGCTTTGGTCTGCTTTACTGGCACAGTCGATGTAGAATTTGGATATTGTGAGTTATATGTGCCATTCGTAGTTAAACTAGATACAACAATACATTCTATAGACTGAACGTAAGCATTTTTTACTAAAAGACATGAGTATGAAGTAGTCCTTATACCAAATATGTAACAATTATATTTTGTTGTTTTGTTGACAATAATATTTCGAGATATATATATATATATATATATATATATATATATATATATATATCTTATAAGAAAAATATATTTATGCTTAGAGCTGGGTTCAAATAAAAAATCAGTTCATGATACAGTCATTTTATTTTCATTACGCACAACACTGATTGATTTTGGAATATAACGTTATAATGTGACGCTTACAATTATACTATTAATTGATCACTTATATCTAAGTTCGGTTAAGTCTTTTTTATCGAAAAATATATTGATTCTATCGAGTAGCTGCGGATCTGTCACCGTTTTAGCGAGTTGTATGAACCCCGTCTGTAATACCGGGTACACTAGCTGAAACCGTTCTAAAGGAAATGTTAACACCAATTCTAGATATGCCATCAATATATTCTGCAAACAGTTCCTTTGCACCTCCATATCCTGAAACAAGATATAGATGTTAAATTTAGACCCATTATTAAGTTATCGTTGTATATTATCAATCTTTACTATAATTACAATAAACCGAAACTTAAAAGAAGAAAGCGTTCGTTTTTAAATATTTTACAATACATACCTTATTAATACTGAGTGTTCTTTGTTGTTCTATTTCCGGAGGAACGGGCTGTGGTGGAATTATTGGTTCAATATTTTTATTCTTTTCATACGTAGGTTCGTCGCATATTGTGATGTTGACTTTCCTACTACCATCGTTGTTCTCCGATGCGCATCGTCGTTTTAACTTTACTGGACTTATATCAGTTTGGGGATAATCTGCTGATTTACGACTGCTATATTTCGTTGTCTCATATTCATTGTTACCATTATCAATCTTATCTTCGGATTTTTCAAGAGCACGGGATATATTTTTGAGCTTGTCCTCTTTATAATCGTCAACAGATGATATGTTTTCCTTTGTTGAGTCGTCAGATATTGTGTTAGATTTAAAGTCGGCGAATGTAAAAGGTTTTGGTTTCTCAGATTTCTGTTCAATGGACACATTAATATTTTGATTAGTACGTGTAATAGCTATATCTGGCGCGTTTGTGGGTTCTTGCGAGTAGAATCGGTCATAATTATTCGAAGACGAATCTGATTCGTCTGAACTGCATGAAATACGACCCTTGACCGTTTCGCAATCTTCGAAATCATTTACATTTATTAGATGTTTGACGTAGTTGCTGCACACCAACTCCCAAGTGGCTTTTAGATCAAATATTTTCACTATAAATTGATCATATTCCAGAGTCATATTTAATGTGGTTTTATAGTTGTTTAATATAATTGACACGTCATTGGATTTCATTTTAAATTTCATTACACCACTAAAAAATATTTCCGTTAATGCTATGATTTTTATTAGCCAAGACGAAGAGGTCTGCTTGTAGAGATTAGCTGCATGATCTAAATTGGATACTTTTTGAACAAGGAATTTTAGTCCTGGTCTTGAGTCGAACTGCATCGCTCTTGTGTACGATAATTCTAAACTTTTGAGTAAAAGATCAGAATTATTTTTATTTAAGAAAAACTTATAATTACATACATTTGTGCCACTCTTAAGACTTTCTATCAGTATACTATTAATACCGTGAAAAACATCTGATGAGGCTTGTATTAGCACAGTCGCGATGATTTGGACTAATATTTGATGAGCCAGAAGACCTACGACCAATCCTCTATTGGGTATTCTAACAGTATATAAATCAGTATTTAGGCTATTAATTGTTTCTTCTAGATAAATAAGGAATATGTAGCTGCGATCATCTATTAAAATTTGAGCTGAATTCTTGGTATTTTGTTTTAAATTATCACCTCGTAATTGATCTGTCAAAAACACTTGCTGAGCCATGGCATGTAATCTTACGTTATCATTCACAGAACAATCACGTCGTGCAGCTACTTTTACTATAGCTAGATCTCCATAGAAACTATTTGAATTTTCCTTAAAGGCATAAGTCAGTTGTTTAAGGGGACTTAAACTCACATTACATGCTCTGTGTAGACTGGTACAAATAATTTCCCACTGGTTGTCTGTTAATAAATGCCCAGAAGTTAAAATAATGTGTCGTATACAAGATGCTCCTAATCGAGCTATTGGCTCCTGCGGCTGTGCAATACATTCGACCAAAATTAACATTATTTGCTTTAATGCAAATGTTGTTTCTAAGCTTTCTATTGGTTCAGATAATACGCCGTCAACTTTTTCGTCAGTAGTTGTCCTCTCAATATTAATTTGCTGCAACTGGTGCAAGTATATCACGATAGTGTCTGTAGTCATTCCACAATATTGTTTAAAGTTTGGTATAATACTATCCCAGTGTGTATTTGATATTTTTGATATTTGCCGTAACCAATTTTGCACAGTTGGCAACAATAAATGATTTATACAATGTAGTCCGAAATGCGTTCCAGGCACCTCAGATATATTTCTTAATAATTTGAAAAGAGTTTCCATAGCTGCTGGTTGGTTTTTCTTTGAGCAAACAACAGTAGCTGAAATTAATCCTTCAATAAGGACATACCAGACTTTGAGGATATTGCTGGGCTTGTCGAGCTTTAATAAGCAATTATTTGTAGTATTTGACAGCGGTAAAGTCGTTGATAGTTTCCTATATGAAATTAATTCTTCATCGCAATTTTCATTGACAATATATTTTGTTACATCTAATGATCCACTTGGTATTATAGGATCTACCACGGATAAAGGCAGGTCTCCTTTAATTCTATTACCTGTGTTGAATATTGGGCATTTCGGCATATTATACATCATTGTCAAAATATCAGCACAACTTTCTAAATGATACAATGCTTCTCTACACATATCTACTATCACCTTTTCTGTTTTCTCTTCACTTAGAGGTATAAATTTGCTATTTTTTGAAAACTTCAGACTTAAGCTTGGTTTGGGCTGCGATGGTGTTGTTACTTTTTTTGGCTTCACTTCAGTTGTTTGGACTTCTTCATAATGGAGACCTTTGATATGACTTAAAAGGCATAGAATACAATCAAGTGCTGCATTCGCGAATACTAATGTGTTATCCGTGTTAAGGAATACTTTAAATATTTCCAAAATGGCGGAATATTGATTTGAGTTATTAGCAGCTCTTAATGTATTAAATAATGGTCGCCAACCTGATCGAATTTCCATCCTGTTTGTTTCAACAAATTCACAGATACAAGAAATTATTTGTTCCTGTGAAAAAAATATAAAATAGTATAGTATAATATTAAATAAAAAAAATGATGATAAAGATAACAAAAATAAAACAGATAATTACCTGAATGTCATCATCGCATAACTCTAAACATAAGAGATTTTCAAATGGCTTTAGAAGAGCTTCATTGAAATGGAAATGTGGAAGCTCTACTTGTTGATTAAGTAATGCCGTTGCGCAGTCGTGCAGACATTGTATAGCGAGACTTGATATTTGAATATCTTTGTGGCACGCCGCCTGTACAAAAAGAAAAAGATAAAAAAATGAACAATTATTAATAAGATAAATATTTATATTGATAAATAGAAAATTGATCTCTAACATATAAAAATACAATTACTGGCCAAAATACTACAATACTGTATGACACTACGCATTTAAAACTCGAAAATTTCCTATATTGCTTTTATTTGCTATATAAAATGCTAAAATTGCTATATAAAATGTGGGCATAAAAACTATATTAAGGTATTAGCGATAATAGCGCGAAATAGGTTTGATTCCCCATACAAAATTTCATCCCCATTTTCACCCCTTTAAGTGATGATTTCTGGGATAAAGAATATCCTATACCCTTCCCAGGGTCTTAAACTATCTTCCTACCAAAGTTCATCTAAATCGGTTCAGTAGATGTAGAGATTACCATTTACCCCCTACTACGTCAGAAACTCACAATTCACAAACTCACAAAAGTTTACCTCTTTATAATATTAGTATAGATTAAAGACTACAGAAAATTCTCCTTTACACTTACCTGCATAAAATGCGGACCAACAACAGTCCATATGGCCATGCGGTGCGCGAGCGGGCGGGCGGCGCGCAGGCAGCGCAGCGCCACGTCGCCGGCGCGGCACAGCGCGCGCGCCGCCTCGCCGCCCGCCGCGCCCGCGCCCGACTTGCCCCGCCGCCACCAGGTGGCGTTGTTGTTTGCGATGTCCTGCTCCCATGAGGAAAATAGCTGGAATAAAGTAAATATTTAGTGGGAATATCTTCATTATGTAGATTATATGATTATATATATATATATATATATATATATATATATATATATATATATATATATATATATATGATAGTCTTGCGGTAAAGGAAAAAATATGAGGAAACCTGCATGTCTGAGATTCTAACAAGTTTTGAAAGACATGTAAAGACCCTCGTCAGCCTGCACTTGACTAACGCCGAGGACCTGATTCCCTTCACATTGAAAGAAGTGCAGGGGACGTTAAAAATGGCTGAATACATAAATTTCAGGTTAGATGTTCGACAATAATAATAATGATTCAATAAGATAATAATAATGTATTTAATAGCTTCTACTTGTGTCTTAACGTGCTGTTTTAACTGAAGATGTTATTCCTAATATTCTTAAATTATGGAAATGTTTTTTTTATTCTAGTACATAAATGACGCTCTGCTCACGTAATAAATAGGTACGTGAAAATAAAGTAATTAATTTTTTTTCATCTGTATTCCAAATTTAATTGAAAACCGTTGAACAAACAAATAAGCACACTGAAGCACTAACAAATTTCCGTCTCTATAATATAAGTGTGATACCCCAACTATTTTATTAGATATAACTATTATCGCATGAAGCCACATACACACCAGCGTGTGATTATGTGTGACCAAGCGCTGCAGCGCGGCGCGCAGCGCGGGCAGTGTGGTGGTGGCGGCGAGGCGCGTGAACAGCGCGTCGGCCGCGGCCGCCAGCGCGCAGCACACGCGCGCCGCCCCCGCGCCCGATATTATGTTACCTCCCTTGAACATAGCATTTTATTAAATTTCATTGAGCGGAACCCTAATTTTTTTTCTAAAATAAAAGTAGCCTATGTTACTCCCTATAACATCAGCTATTTTCCAGTAAAAGTCCTGTCAAGATCAGTCCAGTCATTTCAGAGATTATCCGGAACAAACAGACTGACAAAAATTTAAAAAAATGTGTTTTTCTTATATGTACCGTATATAATTTCATATGTATATAGTAAAACGCTGTTATTTTAACATTACAAACAGACACTTCCATTTTATTTATCAATATAGACTAGTGAAGTAACCTTGCTTCGCTCGAGTGCGTCCCTAGGTGCCTAACAGGAGATTATGTATATTCCAGGTCCTTTGTTTACTATATCGGTAGTACAGTTTCAGCGTGAAGGAGTAACAAACACACACACAAATGAACATGCCACATACACCCACATGTTACTTTAACTAGTTCGATTCCGTACTTAAAGTACTTATTGACTGACTTTTCGGTACATCGTGGCTCATTTCACTGAGTCCTGGCAATGTAATAGACATTTATAGATATAGAGATATGGGGTTTAAGTGTGTACACTAACAGATGTGCATTATTTACACATTCATTGTCAAGCCTAATGCAACAATAATAATTTATGTGCACAAAAAAGCTAATATTTTAAACCAGACCTGGCAGGCGAATCTTCAACCTCATCTGCAGTCATAAAAGCTAGCGATAACCAATATGATTTATTTATTTACTTAGATGTGTTATTAGATTTTTGCTATTAGACAGCATAAAATTTGATATTAAAGTCCTAGAATTCTTCTGTATTTTTAAAATTTTAAGCTCCTAAAATATGAATACGAAGTCAGAGATCGTAAGCAGATTTAGCAATAATTAAATAAAATCTACTGACTCACTGACCTACCTCTTGTCTGCACGTCTCCACAATTTTAGCCACAGTCATATCGTTATTTGGATTATTTTCTAGAACAGGCTGCAGAAAGTTGAAAACGTCAACACTAAAAACCAACAATATTTTTTAGTTAATAAAACGTAACTTTTGATTTTAAAATAAGTATATTTTTTATTTTTAATCTAAAACCTGTAGTTCTCTTATCTAATCTTTTTAAAATTTCATTTTCTTACCAAGTTTCATCATCTCGTCCATCCAAACTCATTTTAGCATCCGCTTGAAGTATGGAAATGGTTTTATTCCGTCCCGTTTGCATTGTAATTATTGGAGTTGCATTATTCCCTTGTTGTCCAAATAGGGAGTGTTCAAAACTCGATACATATTGACAAGCCGCGAATATGTGCTCCCAACATTCTGGTGCCTTTGATCCTAGCTCTAGACCGCCTGTAATTTTTTTCTATATAAGTATGTATATAGGTGTTAGGTTTGCGTGAATTGACAACTATTAGGTTCTCTGTGATAGCTATATCTGGTTAGCACTATCTTAGCGTAAGGGAATATGGATTAATTAGGTATCAAGAGTAGCATACATATATTGCTCAAATTAACTTACTTAACGAGTCATTTTAGCATCAGAAGGATTCCAAATTTTCCTAACATTCCAAAGTGCCATTTTATTAAAAAAAGAAAATATTTAGAAAAGTGGTCTAAAAATATGTTTTTTGCATTACCTGATATAAGAATATCCAATGATAATGCATGAGTTGATAAAATCTTTCCGTTAGCGGGTTGAGATATAGCTGAGTTTGCTAGAAGCGCTAATATGCTGCTACAACGGTTCTGGAGACTAAGGGTTGTGCTTATCCTTGCCGCCTATAAAGATATATTATGCAACTGTTAGCTTAAAATTCATCAATGAAAGCTTATTAGGTCTTTAATATTAATAAAACTGCAAATTATTATCATATAAAAAGTTTTAACCTTATGAAGACCTTCCAAGCACTGTATAGTAAGCCCTTCCCAAGCGATTCGCTTACGTTTCCCAAAAGTATTAATCTTTTTGGATATAATTCCTCGTATTTTGTGCTTTTTGTTCCTGTATCCTGTCAGCGGTCCACTGAGAACTGTGACCATTGAATCCCAAATACATGTCAGAATTCTGAAAGTGCTCTTAAATTTAAAATATATTTTGTTGTCATAAGAAAAAATGTGAGATTACAATAGGACTTTCGACGTATTCTTTTATTATGTTTACTAAGCCATCAGAAAATTTATGGATTAACATGGGACAAACCATTGTAACTCTAAGCCAAAATACTTTGTTTCACCTTGGAAGCTAACATTACCTTCTAGCCCAGCGTAAGCTAGCTTGATATTGTGGAGAGTCGTTCATGTTGTTGTATACCATAGATACTTTTTTTAGCTTTTGCCAGTCGGACATGACATGATTCTGATCTAGTCCTCCTAAATCTGTCAAATGTAGTAAAAAGAAATTAGTTTTGTTTTTCATATTTCAATTAGACTTTATTTTTTATCTTGACTCTGCTTGAAAGGTAATCCGCGAATTTTGGTCAAATTATTAAATTATTTATTACTGTTATATCGATTTAATTTCAATAATATTTTTTATTATATATTTTTTCAATTCAGCTCTTTCTAACGCCCTATTGCTTGGCAAGTAAAGGGAGGTCCCCTTTACTATAAGAGGGATCAGATCATATTCGAAAACTTGCTAGGTTCTCTCAGACATGTAGGTTTCCTCACGATGTTTTCCTTCACCGCAAGACAAGCGGTAATCATGTTGGAAATGATTCGCACATGAAAATATCAGAGGTGCGAGACCTGGGATTTGAATCAGCTTCACTCAGTTTTCCAAGAGAGCGTGTTACCACTGCGCTACCACTGGCTTTCAAAATTATACAACTTATCAAATACTGTTTTATAATAAAGGCATAAACGTTAAATACCTGACAACAAATGTATAAGTGGATGCTCAGACGTAGAAACGTTTTTCAGTAGATCGTTTGCTAGAACTTGCTGATACAATTCCCGGAGCCACGTCGCTGACAAATACACTAACACACCGCTGTTTTGAACTTCATCCACAAATTCATCTTCTGTTAATGGCACGTGAGTTTTCTGGAAATAGTTTCAAAATAATTTTAATATTTAATTTAATCATAATCAGCATAATCAATTTAGTTATTATCACGAGAACAAAACTGAATTTTTTTGTGCGAATTCAATTCCCAAACAATTAGTACGAAATTGCAGCTTCTCTTGCACAAGTGTTGAATAATTAAAACTGTTTTTTAGAATTAGAACAGACATTTTATTATATATTACTAATGGTTTGTGGCGAATGCTATTAGAAGTGGACTCACATTGACCTCGCCGTAGTACCGCGCGCGTTGCTTCAGCGTGAGCAGTAGCGCGGCGTACGTGGCGAGGTACACGCCGTCTGCGTTCATGATGCAGGCCGTGGCGGGCGGCTGCGACGCGTTGTGCTGACAGCACTTGGACGCGAAGTCTTGCATAGCTTCGTCTACCTATAAAATATACACTATATTGTTAAATATCCGTCTGGTCCATTTTTGGTTTAAGCGACTAATTACACTTTACACTGATACTAGTCTACCTACTTGAGAAGGTTTTATGTGAACAGGTCACATGTGCCAATTAAACATGTTCGTGGAAAACAGGCTTTACCTTTTCGAGGCATATTATTCAAGAGAATCTAGCTAATGTTCCGATGCTGAAGCCAAACATTTTAATTGATTAATTCAAAATTAGGATTATGGTAAAGTTTCCTATCATGACAGGAAAACGAGAAAAAAAAACATTCTGGATAGAGATGAATCAAGATGTGGAATGTAGTTTAATTACGTGCCAAAATTTAATATTAAACGTCAATGATAAATCACAAACATGCAAATGCACAAATTTTTACATTTATATTACTACTAGCATTGCCCGCGGCTTCGCCCGCGTTCTGATGACTAAAAACCCAATTCTTAAATTTTACATATTAGTATACTCTTACAATGCAGTTTTTGTATTTTTCTCAGAAATGAGACATTTTCCCGCGGTAAAAAGTATCCTATATGTTGACCCAGATATCCAGCTATCATCATACCAAATTTCATCAAAATCTGTCCAGTGGGTTTCTCGTGATGCGGTAACAGACAGACAGACAAAAATTCTAAAAATTATAGATTCGGACTTTGTATCGATAATAATGTCTATTTCAATAAGATTTTCCAAAAAATATTTAATGTACAGATTCGACTTAGTTAGAATTTTATTATATGTATAGATGATAGGATATAAGGTCAACCATATAAATTACTGAGTGTGTGTATTAAGTACATGTACCTATTATTAAATTTAGTCACATTTTTAGTAGGTACCTCAATGCATGTCCGGAGGTTTATCAACTTTGGCAGAAGAGAGTTCTGTAGAGTTTTAACAAACTGTCTAGCATTGTGTCTTTCAAGATCGACGTTACATTCCGTTATAGTACACCTGAAATACATAAAACAAATATGTATAAAATACTATAATGCTTAAGAATCGTTTATGTTATATTATAGAACAATTCAATAGATTTCTTGTTTTATAGATGACATTTTGTGATGGTTTGTGATATTTTCTTAAATATTTCAACCATTACCTTCCAAGATTCAATGTTTTCGGTATAGTTTTGGTCCTATCATTGAATGGTTCTTCTGGTGAGCTCTTTGGTGAAACGGGATTATTTGCCCTTGAGGGTAGAAACACATTATCTGCATCTGAATCAGCTTCAGCTTCACTTCCAGAACTTATATTTTCAGGACCTGATGTATCTACAAAATTTAAAGAACGTGTAAATTAAAGAATACGAAATACATTATTATAGGATATTTATATTTACTTTATATTTACCAGATGAGTCGCGGTCTTTTGACTCGCTACTTTGTAATACTGCAACGACATCTCTGAAATGAAAAAATTAAAATTACAATCAATCCATTCATTCATAGGATATAGATATATGTAAGTTACATTTATAGAAAAATTATGGTTGACCGGTTTGAACCGGTCAAACAACGTGTTATAAAAGCTAATAGAAGCTTACCTATATGGACTTGGCAGTCTTGCCAATGTCTGGTATGTCAAGGGTCCAGTGTAATCAGCGTCCTGCAACTTTGGCCAATGGTTGAGAATCAACGTAGCTATATCAAGCGGTAAATATTCTACGGATCCAGAACAAAGCTTTTCTAATGCGTCAAGTAACGAGAAGACACATTCTACAGCTGCTGCGACGACTTCAGGATTACCACTTCTACCACAATCTTCTACGCCATCCATTATTCTTTGGAAAGTAACCAAATATAAATACTTGGGTTTTTAATTGGAATACAATTGTGAATTTAAATACAAAAAACATGGTCATGGAGGAGACTTTGTCGATGTTTGCTGTATTATGTATTTCGAATCATCGCGCATAAACCGCGAATAATCAAAATAAAACCACGGTATAATCTGAGAAATAGTTCTATTTAAAATTTGTCAAATTTTAATTTGCTTTAAAGTAAATCTAAAAAAGTATTATAGATATTTTATTTGCAATAATAAAACAATAAAAATTGTTGTTATGAGGATATTATTATTAAGTATACGTACAATCTTATAATGGCCATATCATCGCTGTGTCGTTCCGGATGATCTGTTTTCTTGATCAGTACTAATTGAGATAATCTCTTCGGATTGTGAAGCAATTCCCGAACACTACGTAAAGGTTCTACCCGATGTTGTATGGGTGGATAGAGCAGCATCCTGTGATATAACGCTTCTAAAACTGGCCGTAGATTTGATGTTGAACCAACAAGACGCACAAGCTGGTTGGCTATGCTAAAATAAATAATTATCCAAATTTCAATATACTAAAATATAAATATTATCTGTAAAGAAAAATGCTTAATGAGCTTAACTTACTCGTGTATCGCTTAAAGTCTATGGGTTTCGGTTAAGGTACTGTTGTTAAAATCAATTAAGTAAAGAAAACTAGTTAAAGATTTCTTAAATAAACTTTCTATTTAAATAAGCTAAAAAATACCTGTAAATTGCCTTTGCTTGCTTACTATTAAAGCTTGGAGCGCAAACTAACGCACCAGAGCCTCTTCCCGAGTCATCCACCAGGTGGCCATCGTGTTCTCTGGAAAAATAAAATATGTATGTATCACTTATTCATACGATACACTAGCGGCTCACCCTCGCTTCGCTTGGGTTCGCGTCTAGAAAAACACGAATAGATTTATTTATGAATTAGTTCCCACGGGAACTGTTTATTTCTCCGGGATGAAAATTAACCTGTTGTTTGACAGGCAATTATAATATCAGAATGTTAAATTGTACTAAATTAGGTGCATAAGTTATTGTGTACTAAGCTGTATAAGTTATAGTTTTTTAACTATCCCATGGGAACTATTTAATTTTCCGGGATGAAAAGTATTTAAAATGTTGCCCAGGGATATAAGGTACTACCATGCAAAATTTCATTCAAATCGGTCCAATAGATTCGGAGATTAGATACAAAAAAAATTAAAAAAATCTGGATTTGTTCTATTTGTCTTCTTACATCGCCCTGACTCGACATTCGATATATTCGATACAGACTTTCGACCTCTACTCTTTTATTATAGTATAGATAATACAGTTGAGAAAGAATGCAATTATTTATGAGATTCACCTGGATTTGATATTTTTATCAACTCTCGGCGTCCCCAAGAAGGATATTAGTGAGGGACAGAATTTCTGCCACAAGAACGTCGTAAAATGAGAATTCCCACTAACTCGTTCAGAGAGACTTGACATCAAAGTTAAGAGACAATCAAGAAAGAATAATGCTAACGGATTTTGTTTTGGTATCCTGAAATATGAGTAACAAATTATCATATTAGTTTCTATTTACCAAAATTAACGTAAGCAAATGTTCTATAAACATATTTTATAGCTCACAATTGTGTTTCTGCAAGTCTGCTACACAAATATTGTATGACGGGTATCACTTCGCTGTAACATCCAACCGCTACTATATGATTTCTTCCTAATGGCGATCCTTCAGTCAAAAGCTCTTGACATTCTTCATCTGAAACATATTCTTATTTAATAAAAAAACTTCATTAGATACGTATTGACTAATTATTCAATTCTTTATCAACATCTCAAGCTATGATAGCGCGAATTCTAATGTAAAGCTACAATTCTAATATAAAGGCAGCTCGTTTGAATATTTCTTCTATAATATACGGTGAATTGATATATATGCATTATTAATCATCATATATCACCACCTTCATCACTTGTCATATTATTACAATACTTAAGCGATCAATCTCAGAAGAGATTTACAAAAGTATTATCTAAATAACTTGCCCAGTTGAGCACAGTATGCCCTCAACATCTGCGCGGCGGCGGCCCTCGCAGCGGCCGCGACATGCGACGCCGCCGCCGCCGCCTCCCCGCAGCGCCCGCACGCCCACACGCATAGCCGCCCGTTCAGCGTGCGTCGCGGAGACAACGCCATGGATAGATACATGCGGAAAATTTGCACCTGAGTGCAAAATGACACATAATATGCCTACTAAGAATAATGTCAGAATGATTAAGACTCCTTGAGCCATCTATGTAAGAGATTATATAGTGCAGCAGTATTCTATTCCTTTCATATTTAAACCCCAGTACAACGAAGATTTGTTATAGCCGCTGAGAAATCAGGTGCAGGACCGACAGGCAGACTCAGAGGCATGAGGTGTTGTGATACCGCCAATTTGCAAAATACTGGCTCGGTCTCTTTTATAGTCACTGAGAGTTTCTTGACAGAAAAACTCAATAGCAATCCGCTGTACATACTAATCACAAGACTACTGGGCAATAACGTATCGCGGCTTTATAGGTACATAGGCTTAGATATATTTTATCATTAAAAAGTGGAGTGAATTGCTTTTTCCCCTCTATGGCAGTAATAGATTTCATTTTTTTTATTGCGTGTACACAAAGAATATATTGTGTAGTGAAAGCTTTGTTTATAAGTTAATTGAAATTACAAAAACGAATCTCATAAAACTCCAATACACATGTAAGGATATTTAGAGTATACCTGTGTATCCGGCAGATGGTACATAACCGAAGTAGTGGCACAAAGTAGTTGCGATGGCATCCATAATGAATCGTCTTCTGGTTCGATACCACGGTGGAATCTATCGTCCCGTAATATTTTCTGAAAGTGACATTGAATATAATGTTGTAGGTAATGCATTTTTACTTAACATGGCAAAAAACGATCAACTTTTTTTAAATTATGCACGCTAATTTTATTGATGACTAGCGGCTCACCCTCGCTTCGCTCTGGTTCGCCTCTAGAAAAACACTAATAGAAATCTATTAGTTCCCACGGGAACCGTTCATTTTCCCCGGATGAAAAGTAACCTGTTGTTTGACCGGCAATATAAGGTATCAGAATGTAAAATTTTACTAAATTAGGTGCATAAGTTGTATAAGTTATAATAGTTTTTTAACTATCCCACGGGAACCATTTAATTTTCCGGGATAAAAAATATCTAAGACGTTGTCCGGGGATATAAGGTACCACCATACAAAATTTCATTTAAATCGGTCCAATAGATTCGGAGATTAGCCCGTACACAACACACAACAGACAGAGAAACAAAAAAATTGAAAAAATCTGGATTTGTTCTATTTGTCTTCTTACATCCCCCTGACTCGCGATGGCTTATTATTAGCGTATTTCATGTATAACTTTGGTGTTTCTATACCGATTTCTATGATTCTTTTTTATGGAATGGTTTATAATGTTAACTTTTTTAATTAGGGATGACTGAGATTGTTATAAACGTAAGAGTAGACAAATATAAATCAGAAAGCTTCGAACTGCTAAGCTATCGGGAGTTACACGTGTTATTGTGAGTCAACCATAAAAGATAGACATAATATGCTGTCGTGGGATATTTTTTATATAATTTTAAGGAGAACATTTCCGTCATACATGATTTCTGTGTAGCTTTAACCATTAAGGTTGCACACGCGACGGAAGCTTAAAAAATGGAGTAACTTCTCCCGTTTTCCCAACATTTCCCTTCACTGCTCTGCTCCTATTGATTGTAGCGTGATGAAAAGTATACTTTAACCAGCTCAGAAGTATGAAAAATAATAGTACAAAGTTTCGTTAAAATCCGTCGAGTAGTTTTTGTTTCTATAACGGTTATACAGACAGACAGACAGACAAAAATTTTACTAATTGCATTTTTGGCATCAGTATCGATCCCTAATCACCCCCTGATAGTTATTTTGGAAATATATTTCATGTACAGAATTGACCTCTCTACGGATTTATTATAAGTATAGACTAGCTTGCTTGATGACAGGTTGCTTCCCCATACAAACTTTCATCCCCATTTTCAACCCATTTCATAAGGGATGATTTCCGGGATAAAAACTATCCTATGTCCTTCCCAGGGTCTCAAACTATCTTCTTACCAAATTCATCTAAATCGGTTCTGTAGTTTCAGAGCCTATTAGGTACAAACAAATAAAAAATAAGTCTTTCCTCTTTATAATATTAGTATAGATTAATCTTAACATATAATAGATAATCTTTAGTTTGATATTTACATGAAACCCCTGGAGAGCGAATGCGACTAGGCGGGGGCGCTTGCTCTCGAGCGCGATTTGCAGCGGCAGGAGGCACGCGCGCCGCAGCTCGTACGATGCCCGCCGGCTGCTTTCTTGCATACATAGCACTTCTGCAATTAGTAAGTAAATCAATTTGTTTAAAAATAACCTTCTTAATCTAAGATAATTTCTACCAAGAAAACATTAATATTTAATACATACGATATGTACTACGATTTCATCATAGGTTTCGTCATAAATGAATGACGTCATCAAAACATACCGTAAAAGTTACGAGTATTTATTGTTACTATGTTTTCTTTTTTATCTTTTATGTAAAAAAATGTACATAAGGCGAGTACAATAAATGATAAAATATTATAAAAAAATTTTACCTAACGCATCCTGACATGATTTCTTCAGAGAAATAAGCTTCGGTCCTGTAGCTTCTCTAAAGATGTCTTGAAGGAGTTCTTCCATGACAACCCTAAGTATAAAACATTTTATACACTGCTTACGCTATTAAAACGCAGGTAGTACAATACTGAAAGATCTACTAAAATTTAGAACAAAAATGTTGAATATTTTTAACTGCGTATTGCAAAAGTTAGCGAGTGGGTGTTACGCTTATCAGACGACTAACGTTACGGAGCATGCTCAATGTAAAAATCAATAGTGTACGATGTGTTTTCTTTTTTAACTCTTTTATTTCTGCATCAACAGGTGGCATAATAATATCAACATTATGAAAAGTCATTTTCTGTATCATTTGTCATAACTCATAAATTGATAAGTCGACATTTGATTATAGGTACCTATTGGGCAAAAAGGGTTTAACTGTACAATAACTTATATATTTTTACATGAGATACTTGAAGTATATTTATATTATACTAGCATTACTCGCGGCTCCGCCCGCGTTCAGATGACCAAAAACCAAATTCTTAGGTTTTATATTGTATATGTTGACCTGGATAACCAGCTATCACCATACCAAATTTCATCAAAATCCCTCCAGTGGGTTTTCTGTAATGCGGTAACAGACAGACAGACAGATAAAAATTCTAAAAACTATAGATTCGGCCTCTGTCTCGATAATAATGTTTATTTCGTACAGATTCGGCTTAGTTACAATTTTATTATATGTATAGATTTCAATCTATACATATAATTAAATTAACTCTAGAAATGTATGTATGCTGAAGCATATATGCTTTTTCTATTTCTATTAAGTCGAATTTATAATATAAGTATATATATAAATATTAAGTTTAATTGATAATAAATTTTATTTTAAACTATACCTATTAAGTACAAGATGATTTAAATAATAAATACCTACATGTGCAATAATAATAAAAATTTTGTATATATTTTAATATTATTTTTCAAAAGGTAGATATCTCGAAAACAGTGGAAAAGGTGTAGAATTATTATCTCTATTGGGAAACATTTTTTTACAATTTCACGGGACAACGCAAGGATTATTGATAAATTTATCGATTGATTGAAAAATTGTTATTATGTAAGTATTTTTTATCAAATATACTTATATATTTGCAATATTACATCTCTTTAGGCTGATTGATCATATTTTCTTTTTTTTTCGCAAAAAAAAGTTTATACGCGTCACATCATTCATTTTAAAAACAAAGTGCTGTTTTATAGCCGTCCCAGTTGACTATATCTGCTAGGGTTCTTCTTTAATTCGCCTATTGGAACGCGGGCGTTTGACTCGTGAGGAAAATAAATTTAAAAAGCAAGTTTTAATTATTCCCAACCGTGAGGATTTTCAAATATTTGAATAAGCAAAACAAATATAAATACTCTTATTCAAATTGCGAGACTGCAATTTGAGAATTGAGATATTTTTATTCATTATTTACAGAAAACAAAGGAAAAAAAGATTGACTCGTGCAAGGGTTAGTTAAACTTCAGCTAAATCAATATCTCTTAAAGTACGGTATTTAAATGTAGCATTTTTTTACAAGCTTTTTTTTAATATCAATTTTTGAATTAATTCGTCTGCCTTTTATTAAATTTTAAGTAAAATCTTAAATATTTGTAACTACAAAAAAACGTTTTTCCGCGTGTGTTCCTTACATTCAATTTCAAATTAAACACATAAATTAACTTTTAAGAAAACACAGACAAATAATTAAAAAAAATCTAAGATAAATTTATACCTCAAAAAATTATTAATATGATTTTATTAAATTTAAATAAATAAAATAAGCGTGATATTTATCCAATAAAACGTGGTGGCTCAGGGATGGATGCTTGAGTTCAAGTTTAAGGTATCGCAGTTTTATCACTATAAAAAAAGTACGTAGATATACGTACTTTTCATATGCAAATGGGGAAGATTTCTCGAAAGGATGTCACGCCACATGTATGGCCTATTTACATTCAGTCTGAGGTTAAGCAATTATTGTGATATCTCTTTTATACCTGGTTTTTTGCTTCTATTGTATTCGCATCTTACCTGTGCAATATATATTGCACTGGTAGTTAGACCAGCTGAAGGAAGAATTGAGAAGGAGAGGTGCATCCTGCGCTGGTCCTGACTGACTGATGGATTAACAAACAGCCTAAATCGCTGGTCATAGAAACGTAAAATTTTGAATACATCCCGTATTCCATATATGATGTAGGCATCCGATAAGAAAGGATTTTTCGAAATTGATCCCCTAAATGGGTATCATAGGGGATTGTATGAAACTTTGTAATTAATATGTAAAAGAATACAAAAAATAAAATCCGCCTGAAGACGATTTAAGAGTTTTAAATTACTTTCTTCAAAATGACGTTCACATAGCCTTATATATAAATTTCCCGGGGGAGAAGCCAACTCCTACCGGGCGCGTCCCCAGGTGGCGGATAGGGGAATGCCACCCGCTTAGGGCGGCGGGTGGTACCGGAGAAATCCGGCGCGGACCAAATGGCTTGGGTGGGGCCGCTCGTTTAGGACTCGAGCCGAAGACGTTGCGGCCACCGGTGGTAGGACCGCTTGGTCCCACAACCGGATGATGGGTGCCGGTTGCGGGACTGTGGTCGCAGGCCCGCATCCGGCGTAGGAGTAGGCCGCGGCGGGAGAGGAGTGCCGGTATTTCGTTGCGCCGTTCTCCCTACCTTCCGCGGCCTAGACGGGGCCGCCACCGTTTGATGGCGGACGCGGTGGGGCTGCAGGGGAAGAGGAGTGTCGGTGTTTCGTTGCCGCTCTCCCTGTCCTCTGCAGCCGATTGGAGGTGGCCTACTTCGGTGGGCGGTGGTTAGGTTTAATGGGGCTGCTCCGGGTACCTCTCTGGCGTAGCAGAGTTGACTGTGGAGCAGCCCCATTGGTTTGGTGGTCTGCCTAGCGCTTAGGCAGACCTGCCGCCGGGGCGCCGTAGTAGTTATGCGCAAGCGATCCTGCGGCGTCCCATTAAGACGGAGGGGAGGGGAATGTCGGGTTTTAGTGGGTAGTACCGGCTCTTCTAGCCGGTGAGCCCCACATCACCACCTGGGGGATCAGGTGGTATGCGTAAATGCATTTCCCGACATAAAAAAAAGCCTTATATATAAATATTGTAATATCGCCAATTTTGATCGTCTTATTGCTTTAGCCTAATATTTCTTTAGTTTTATCTTTTGGGAATAAATGATATTCATTTTCTGCACTGCACAATTTGTCATTTTTATTAAATTTTAAATAAAATAAAAAAAAAACAACATCCATCCACACTATAGAGCTTTATAATATACTTAGGGCAATAGTTACCGTAACATCTGGTGGGAGAAAAACGTGATATTTTCTATTCTGGCCTACGTCTTTTTCAAAATTCGAGTTGGCAACACTGCTTTCATACCTACTTTATTGTCAGCTGTCACTGTCAAATTTAGTTATAAAAATGGTGTCCTGGAGTGCTCTAGGCCGATCTTACAGCGCAAGCTTATTTAAAAACATCATCAAAGCACCATACTTAGTAAAAAATGTGAATTTTTCTGTAGGTAAAATTTTAAATGGAGACCATGGACATAAGACTATGGCAATGCAGCCATCAAGGTATAATGTCACTCAGTGATTACCTAATCAATTTAGTTTAAAAAATCAAGAAATCAATTACAATTTTATTTTTATCATTCTACATTATAGATGGCAATGGCACAAGTTCAAGGATATGTTTCACTACTACCTGATGGTGGGTTTGATTCCTGTTGGTGCAATTATTTTCTACACAAATGTGTTCATAGGCCCCGCTCAGCTTACACCAATACCTGAGGGTTATGAGCCTAAGCACTGGGAGTATCACCGTCACCCCATAACAAGATTTATTGCCCGATATATTCATAATAGTCCTCAGCAGGTAAATATACCATTAAATAATATTATTGTGTGTGAAATAGCTTATTACATGATATTATTATTTTTATATTTTGAAAATGCATAAATTAAAATTAATAGTTATACTATTTTTAGTATTTATAGTTATTATTACTTATTTTTAAAGAGTTCTATGATCATTTTGTTTTATTCATGAAAATGATGAAAGTATTATTTAAAACATTAAAAAACTTAATGTGAAAATGTCAACCACCAACCTAAGTGTTTATAATAATACTTACTGCTTGTTAAACCTATAAACCTTAAAAGTGGGTTTGTTATACATAAAAGTATGAATAGATACGAAATATATGAATAGGTTAATTTTTTAATTCTATTTTTACATTTAAGTATTAAACTGAAATATTGTTTTACATTTTTTCAGGAATATGAAAAATTTATGCACTACATTGATGAGGAAGCCCAAAAGGGAAAACTCAGGGGTCTAGAAAAAGAAGTCCAAAAGAAGATGGCGGAAAGGCAGGACTATCAAGCATATTACTACAGACCAATGGTTAACAAATATCTTAGAATCAATAAGAAAGTTGGTGATGAGGCGTTTGATCGCTATGGTGATGATTATAAAGATTAAAAAGGGGTTTGTTATTCAGTTTTAGTTTTTTAGAAATCAAGTGTATAGTATCCATGAATAGTTCAAGGTATTTTTTTTTTGATTTTGATCATTGCTTTTATCTTGCGTTTGTTCTTGTTGCAATAAATAATATGTGAATATTTACTGGGTTTTTATACACATAACAATTCCAATTCAATAACATTCATTTTGACATCCATATAATTATGTATGTTTTATTGACATATAGTAGTGACCCTACTTGCTGTGCCAGCGGTCATGGAAACGAGTTCCGTTTGTGTGATGAGCATAAATGTTTGCACTCCAGTCAGGAGTATTTATATTTATACTATGTATGTATTTAAAGTTATATATGTGTAGTGTATTAACTATCTGGTATCCATAACACAAGCCTTGTAGCTTACCATGAAACTAAATGGTGCTGTGTGGTAATGTCCCAACATATTTATCTATACTAATATTATAAAGAGGTAAAGTTTGTGACGTTGTAGGGGGTAATTTCTGGACCTACTGAACCGATTTAGATTGAGACTTTTATCCCGGAAATCATCTCTTAAGGGGGTGAAAATGGGGATGAAAGTTTATATCAGGAAGCAAAAAAAAAATAGTTCTATGTATAAACAGGCAAAAACAAAACAGTTCAGTACCTTTTTATCATCTGTTTGTCCTTAATCTTTTAGTCATTGTTGTTATCTTTTTTTTAGAAGCTATTAAGGAGCTATTGTGTAATCAAAAAAAAAAAATTTGAATTGGTTAGTTCTTTGATACAGGTAAAAACACAGTTCAGTACCTTTTTCTCTTTCTGTTTATCAACTGGTTTTCTTTTTTTTTGTTTTCTATTGACAAGCTTTAGTGTTATCAAGAAAAAAAATATTTTGATTGAATTTTGACCACTGTTCATAATAAATAAGCAATAGAAAGTCTAACAGAGCTTACTAACAAAAGACCTTTGATATAGTAGTATCTTAATTTGATGAACTGTAAAGAAATACGGAATACAGATACAGTGAAATCTCAATAAATAAAATTACATTTACATATTAGGGGCTGTAAAAAGGATTATGTAAGTTAATTATTGTTGGGCTATAGTTAATAAGTAAGTTAATGGTAGAATAAATTAAATTATATTTTACTTTTAAAATTGAAAATCATTTTAATATATCATATTTCGTCTTTGCAATAGAAAATTGTTTACTCTCAAAATCATTTTTTATACATATGTATATTTCTGTTAATTAAAACAACTAAATTAATGAGGAATTTATTTTTGTTGTCTTTTTTCATTTTAGTAATTTTATTTTTATTGGACTATTAAAAGTTACAAATAAATTGAAAAGGATTCAAAATGAAATAAATGCTATCTAATATTTATTAATTTTAGTAATTTTAACATATACATATGTATATATGGGAATTAAACCAGTTTATTCACGTCATGGAGGTAATGGCGTTTGGGTAGGAACAAATGAAAACACATTATTAGGTAACATTGTTATTTAATTTACAGGAAATTTCTAACGATTGACAATAGATCCCCCGACATGTGGAAACCTTATAAAAGAAATCTCAACACTTACATAGGTTCATGCTAACTCAACTTGATATGATTCTACATTTTATTCTTTAAGTTAAAATGACCTTGTGTATGGCTTATTAAGTTAAGCAGAACAGGGCTAATATAATATAACATTTGGTTTTCATATTCTAGTATATCTATCTGTATCTTTATTGGACTATTAAAAGCTACAAATAAACTTAAAACGATTCAAAATTAAACAATGCCTAGCTTGTCTAATATTTGTTAAGGAAATAAGTACGGCTAGCAGGGGTCGGATCACAATAAGAGACGTGACAAATAAATTCTTTGGCAATGCAGTCATGCACAAAGCTCTTAACTACATCTGTTACACACATATTACAAAACGATATGATTTCATCTCCTTCTTTCAGTCTTTGCAGTTTGTAGAGTTCCAACTATGACCCAACAACTATTTATTTAGATTGCTTTTATAACATTTGGTTTAAAACTATAATTAACATTTCAATAAATTATATAACAACTCCATGAGAAAAATGCTGATGAGCTACCTTGGTAACATAATCATTTGCTATATATCTACTTAAATTCTATCTGTCTCTATTTCAATAAATATTGTCTTATCATATAAAACAATATAGGAAAATAAGGAGTAAAAAAATAGAAATGAAATCATGCTAATATTATGTAATAATTTATTTATAACCCTATTACCTATACGCTTTTACAATACTCGTAAAATTTATTCTTTCTCGATAATAACGATTTTCGAATCTAAGATCTAAAGACGGCTAAAAGTTTCTACTATGTAAAAATTTTAATGGTATATTATTTACTTTTTTCTTTCTCGGCCTGTGCTGCCAGTTTCGCCTCTTTCTTGGCTTTCTTCTTTTCTTCTTTTGCAAGTAACTTGGCCTGTCTCTCTTCTTCCTTAGCGAGTAATTTTGCTTGCCTTTCTTCTTCTTTCGCCTGCAGTTTAGCTTCTTTCTTAGCTTCTTTTTCCGCTTTAAGTCTTAATTTTTCTTCTTTTTTTCTCTCTGCAATTTCATTCTTTTTGTTATCATTACTTTCATCCTTTTTGTTTTTGTCTCCTTGTTTTGAATTTTCATCGGTCTCTTTCTTTTTTTTCTCTTCTTTCTTGACTTTTGTTTTGGGGTTTTCCTTTTTCTTATCAGTCTCTTTGCTATGATCTCTTGATTTTGGGGGGTCATCTTTGTTTGTAGGTTTTAGTGGTCGGAAAAAATGCTGTTTATTTTTCTGTGGAGATGTTTCTAGTTGTGTAACGATTTTCTGAGCGCACCTATAAAAAATAAATGATTTTTATTAATTTTAGTATACGGTTTTTCTATGTGGATTTTCACTATAAGAGCTGGTATTGTCTTAAAAATACCTTATTCTAGTTGAGGCTGATGCAGCAGCAGCACTTTCTCGCCGACCTTCACGAAATTCTCTTTGAAACTCTCGAATAGGCGGAAGTCTCCCCGAAGGTTCCCCAGCTGGTCCACCTGTGTAGCTATGTACTTGATAATCTTGCAATCTTGCCTGTAACATTTTTTACTTTCATTCTAATAAAATATAATTTCGTGCAAAATTTTAATAGAAATATATTTTATCGATTATAACTAAATAAAGTCAATATCAAACATCCTCCAAAGAGCTGACAAGTTTTTGCTTATATAATAAATAATAAACATTATACATTGAAAATTTATATGACATATTACATATTAAATTTTAGGTTCCATAGTATCTCGGGTTTGATAATTTATGGTAAAGGTATAGTTATTGGAGGTTTTTGTCAAAAAAAACTTCAGTTTAGAGTTAGGAAGTACCAGTGTTTGCTCAAAGAACTCCTAAAGTTATCGGTCCTATAAATTACCACGTACGGTATCGTCGAATTCTTGCATGTTGTTATTTTAGATTGGCCACTGCGGCTGAAATCGGTTAGGGGAATATTAATGTGTAATAGAATAAAATATGTACATATATACCTTCATGCTATGATGCTGAGATCGCCGCAAAGAGTTCGAAGCGGGCTGCCGTGGTCTCGGTGGAGCAGACGCGGCGGGCACTCTGGGCACTGCTCCCAAACACGCCCCACCACATTTAGCACCACCACACAGCTTTGTAGAACAGCCATTGTTGCTCACATTGCCTCCGCTATTCGATGATACAGACGACACTCCTAAATTAACAAAAATGTCATACTAATGACTTTGTAATTTGTTAATATTCCACGAAAGCCCCTCAATATGCTGATATAGCATTCTCCGGCTTATAAAGTATCTATAAGAAAAAAATGCATCAAACCGCTGCTGTTAAAATGGGCAAACTACCAGACCATTGAAACCACAAGGACAGGTTTTAGACTACACGATCTAGGTAACTACTAATATATTACTATACACATCGCTAGATTTACACTAGGGGTACTCGGGGCTAGTGCCCAGGGTTGCACATTTTCAGGGGCGATGAAACTCGAAGTACGTACATATAAATAAATAAAAATTCTTCGCATTATCGAAAATGTTGTTTTATTTTTTGCATTTATCAAAAATAAAAAAAAATGAACTTTACCGAAATTTATCAATTTTATGCAACTTTTCGAAAATAGGGCGGTATTTCTTACAGTGCCCAGGGGCGGCGCTACGGTTTAAACCGGCTCTGATTATACATATACTCTGCTTATGATATAGTATTAAACTATATTAACTAACAATACCTAACTTCCTTCTGTGGATCTGAGGATCAGATTTTATTTAAAAATTATCGAAATGCCCAAAGAGGAAACAATTTTTTTTCTGTATAAAAAACCTTTTGAATCATTTTAAATTATGTTATATTTTAATAAATTAGAGTTTGACCCTCACGATTCATTTAATTTTGTACCTATAATTGCTCACTCAAAAGGTCAGTGTGATGTTATTAAGTAACCTACCTTCTTCAATATACTCGTACTTATTATGGACAATTAAATTCAAAAATTAAGTTTCCAACCAGACTTCTATTTCTAGCGTTTTCAAGCAAAGAAAATAATAAACTGTGTAATTCATGTGAAAGATCACCAAAAATATTTGGTTTTTGTTGAACTTATTTTATTAATTTGCCAAATCCTATACACCGACGGAAAATATCTTGAATAACACAAAGAATACCTCTTAATACTTTTTATTCCGATAATACGTTTCTGGAGGGTATCAATTTCGATACCGCTTTACTTGTGTATATGTATATGATATATGGCGCTATATAAGAACTTGGCAAAGTAAAAAATACTTTTAATGCAGTTGAAGCCTCGGGCAAAAAATAGTTTAAAATAAAACCTCTCAATTAAAGTATTATTTTAATTTATGTATATTGTTATAGAGTTGACTGCTACGCACTATGATTAGGAGGCTAGGTCCTCCTATACCTAAGTGTTAGCAAAACAAAATATCTAAATATTATGATGTAACCGGCTGCAAATAGGTTTTAATTGTGATTGAAACCTCCATGTAAAAACGATCCATAATATAAACCTAATAAATACACTAACAGGTATCTATGTCAACAGATTTTTATATTTAGACTAGCATAGCCCGCGTTCAGGTGACCAAAAACCAAATTCTTAGGTTTTACATATTAGTATACTTTTATATTGCAGTTTTTGCTTTTTTTCTCAGAAATGACATATTCCCGCGGTAAAAAGTATCCTATATGTTGACCTGGATAAGCAGCTATCACCATTCCAAATTTTATCAAAATCCCTCTAGTGGTTTTTCTGTGATGCGGTAACAGACAGAGAGACAAAAAATCTAAAAACTATAAATTCGGCCTCTGTGTCGATAATAATGTCTATTTCAATAAGATTTTCCAAAAAAAATATTTAATGTACAGATTCGGCTTAGTTACAATTTTATTATATGTATAGATTTATTTTTTTATACTACTTTTTACATATTAATATCTAACTAAATTTACCTATTAAAAATAAAAATGAATGTAGGTAAAATCAGCGAATTCGTCTACGAAACAGAATGGGAGGAAAAATAGGTCATGGTAATAATGTCATATAATAAGTCACATTTAGATTCATGTATTCATATAGAAAGGGAGCTTTACTCCGAAACTCCGACCACTGATATTTTTGTCATATAGGTAAATGTTAAATATCCAAGTGAAAAGATGATATACTTATAGCTACTAGCTAAATAAAAAAATATTAAAATGTAGTTTCCATAAAATAATAGAATTTCGATAGGTGCAACTATGTATATCCAATGCTGTGGGAATCTTTTTCGGTATAAAATTTAGCGCCTCCAAGATAAATTATCTTTATAAATGAATTTTTCTTTGAAGTAAAGTGTTTACGGAAGAGCAGATATGTACTACTTCTATACATATAATAAAATTGTAACTAAGTCGAATCTGTACATTAAATATTTTTTGGAAAATCTAATTGAAATAGACATTATTATCGATACAGAGGCTGAATCTATCGTTTCTAGAATTTTTGTGTGTCTGTCTGTCTGTTACTGCATCACGAGAAAACCACTGGACAGATTTTGATGTAATTTGGTATGATGATAACTGGTTATCCGGGTCAACATATAGGATACTTTTTGCCGCGGGAAAATATCTTATTTTTGAGAAAAAATACAAAAAACGCAATGTAAGAGCATACTACGATGTAAAACCTAAGAATTTGGTTCTTGGTCATCTGAACGCGGGCGGAGCCGCGGGCAATGCTAGTCTTCTATATTTTTAAAAGTTGTATTTATGATATTAAAGTTAGGAAAAAGGGTAATAATATCTACTGGATCTAACCAGATAAGGATGATTCACCGCTGGTGACTGAGTAGAGAGATGCGGAGGCAGGCACTGAACGGGCGCCTACCGAGTATGATGACACAGACCCCGGCACTCCCCAGGACTTTCCACTTCCACTGGTTATCTATAATTAAGACGTTAATGTTATATTTTTTTATAAATAATTTGACTTCAATGCCAAAACGTCATAGTTTTATAATTTCGGGCAAAATTTGTTGTTCAGGGAAGAAATTACCGCCTCAAAAGAGAAATGGCCATCTAGAACACTTAAAATAATTCAAGTTAAGTTTCATTTCATATATTCACCTGCCAACTTTTACTGGAAACCAGTCTCGGCGCCTGCCGCAGACGGAGGATTTTGGCTCGGCAGATGACACAGCGCAATGGGAGCAAACGTTGGCTTACCGCCATCTGAATGGTCTTCACGAAACATCTTCGACATACCACCCGGTGGCCGCATGGCGACGTTTGCATCGTCGCTTTCGCGTTTACACAAATTACACACTGAAAAAAAAATTATATAGCTGCATTAACAATCTCTTCCTTTTTAGTTCAGTGAATATGTACAAGAAGGTGTGACAGGTGAAATCCATACACATACTCACATACACCACACTCGTATGTGAAGGGTCCGCACCCGACCGACGTTGACATGTCCGAACGTTGGCTTTACGTTTGAGTTGTATAATTTATTTCGACAATAAAACAAATAGTATGAGACAAACAAACAAAAAAAAACATCAAAATTGTTCCAGAGATTTAGGACGAGTTCAGTGACATACACACAGGCAAATCAAAACTACAGAAAAAATATTTACATAATACATATTATGTTCGGACAGGACAAAGCCTGTTGGGTCCGCTAGTAATAAAAATAAAAATTCCTTTAAACGGCGCCACCTATCGGCTTCAGTTGTGAATGTAAATCATCCAATCTCAATTACACACAAAAAATTTCATCAACATACGTCAAGCCGTTTAGGAGTTCAGTAACATACACATAGAAGAATTATATACGTACATATTATATACGACTTCGAGTATATAAAGATAATAATAATAATAGATAAGATAAACTCTACATTACAATTGACTGTTAAATAGTACCGTGTAAAAAAGTTATAGTAATTAGTATCAAAATTTGTTGTGAATTAATGGTATAAATTATAATATACTTTACTTACATTTACCTCCTTTCATAATAAATATAAAACGAGCTATTTACCTTGGCTTTGCCTAACGGTAAAGTGACACGTATACGTTTTGTATGTATACACATGTGACCATGATGTCCGTACTCGTAAGTAATTTAATCCGGTATTTTAATTTAACCAATGCTGTCGTTTTTATCGCATTTAGACTAATAAGCCTCAATTATCACACAACTCGCACAACACTTACAACAACTGACTACATCGGAATCGGATGAATAATATATGCACGTAAATAACACAAATCAAATATGTTTACTAATATAAATGTAGGTGCTTAGACAAAAATGGAAAGATTGTGCGAAAGAAGGGACAGGAGTATACAAAGAAAGCATAGAGTGTCTATACATCTAATAAAATTGTAACGAAGCCGAATCTGTACATTAGATATTTTTTGGAAAATCTTATTCAAATAAACATTATTATCAATACAGAAGCCGAATCTATAGTTTTTAGAATTTTTGTCTGTCTGTCTGTCTGTCTGTTACCGCATCACAGAAAAATCACTGGAGGGACTGATGAAATTTGGTACATATAGGATACTTTTTACCGCGGGAAAATATTTCATTTTTAAGAAAAAATACAAAAACTGCAATGTAAGAGTACTAATAATGTATCACCTAAGAATTTGGTTTTCGGTCATCTGACGGCGGAGCCGCGGGCAATGCTAGTCTAGGTATATAATTTGACATGTATCTATTTGAATTGAAAAGATAGAAACGATCGCTTTATATTTCTCTGATTGACCAGTTGTTGAAATTTGACTATAAACATTATTCCATATTTTAAATATTAAAACAACCTGTTTCCAACATATTTTTTTTGATAACACTAAAGGACTAAACAAAAAGAAAAATAAAGAAAATCTGTTAGCTAAAAGAGGAGGAAACGGTACTGAATTGTTTTGCCTTTGCCTATACATAGACGTATAATACAAAAATTATGTGTATAGGTATGATTATAATAATTATACGATTTTAAAGATAATAAAAATATTAATCTTTAATATTTAAATCTACGCAATAAGTAATTTAATACGTACTTCTTCTTCTGGTGAAGTGGCTAGCTCTGGTTCATTTTCTTCCAATTTGTTGAGCAATTTATCCTATAAAGAAATATATAGTTATTATTTTCTTATTTAAAATAAGCAGACTGTCTTGGAAAAATAATCTATGCCAAGGATCATAGTAAATGAATTGCAAACACAATAAATCCTAGTGCAAATACTCTTAAAAATTAGTACTTAGCTATTAAACCTAAGTCTAAGTATACGAGTAACTGTTTAATATTTTCAAGGTTTTCCAGTATCGAAAAGTTAACAAGTTTACCTCGTGGTCTGTAAGGGAACACAGAATTACATATGTACATAACGAACATTTTAACAGCTACCTTTAAAGTTACTAATTTTGCCATATAGGCAGTTTTGTTAGATTTCTTAAGGTAAAATAAATTATTTAATTCCTTACTAATTTAAAAAAAATTGCCTTGTATTAAATATTCATCTAATTATAAATGGTATCATTATAGGCCATAGTATGAGATATGTAATCTGTATAAATATTATAAATGTGAGTTTGTGAGTATGTATGGATGTTTGTTACTCTTTCACGCCAGAACGGCTAAATGGATCTGGATGAAATTTAGCACAGAGATAGATTATAGTCTGGAATAACACATAGGCTACTTTTTATCCTTGAAAAATATACGGTTCTCAAGGGATAGATTTGTTTTTGTTTTTCTAGAGGCGAAACCGAGAGAAGCGAGGGTGAGCCGCTACTACCTATAATATATTATTATCAAGTATGATCACAACGTTATATTTTGTTCTACATATTTCATAATATACTTATTACATTTTTTTAAATATGCCATTAAAAATTAATGTGGTGTCTAATTAATTTTATCTTTTCATCTATTGTCTATTTTATCATATTAAATATATCATAGTAAAGGGATGTTACGTCATGGTTAGCTATTTATTTTTATTACATATTGTATTTTTATTGTATTCCTATAATGAAATAAGTAACTCCTAGCAAAAGATTTCAATCATGAAAGGCAAGTTTGTAGAAAATAAAATGTTGGGGTGTCAAATTAAAAAAAATAGCCGGACAAAACCAGAGCACGCAGCTAGTTGTATCATATGTGTAAGTATATAATATGTTTTTTTTGTTATTTTTGCTGTCTATAAAAAATACTAATAAGTGGTAAGTAGTTTTTGTTCGATGAAGTCGTGCTTGAGAAGCTACAAGTGAAGGTGTTATTGTTCAAACAGTTTTATAAGATTTTATGTTTAGTACAATTTTTATTATTGATGTTTTTAACTTTTGATGAAATTACAAAATATTCTATTTAAGGAAGATAGATGGCTGAGTACTACCATCGCCGTGGGATCCTGTGATTAATTAATATAATAAAATATCAAATAATAAAATTAAACATAAGAGACCGATGTAGTAATTTCTTACTGTGTGTGTAGAGCAAAGTTAAATCCTTGAATAGTTAATATTAAATATTATATTTTCTAAGATTATAAATATTATAATAGTAACACAAATATTAATTAATAAAGTTTAAAAAAAAATGTAATCATTATAATAATAACAGCTAAAATTATTTAAATAATAATTCCACATTCGATTATAAGGCTTAAAATTAAAAAATAATGGTACTTTGGTGCCATTTTTATATATTTTTGAATTTATTTGGTAATTTTATGAGTAGGCACTGTCTGTAACAAATAATTGTCTTTGAGACGTCAAAAGCCTTAGTCTCTCCCGTGACCATGATTGCTGTAAAGCCTTCGAAACGTCGCGTCGGAAATCAAAAATCAAAATAAATCCGCGAAAAAATAGAATTTTTAAACGAACCTATGTAAGGATCAATAGTTGTATAATTTTCGTGCGAAATGAGAACCCATGTTAACAAAACTTCGCAACTGTCGTCTTTAGATTTGATACATGCGTAAAAAAAATCTTATTTATACTTTATTTCATTATTGTTTATAATAAGTAAATAATGGATTAAATTTTGAGAAGCTTATATTGGACTTTTCGTAGTCATTTATTGTTGTTGCTCAATGTAAGTTTGTTCAATATATTATTACAAAATATTACGTGCATAGTGTAACGCAAATCTACAGTCACGATACCATCAGCTCGAATTACTGATCACTGATCAGAAATTGACAAATATCGTAAGATTATTTACCAAACTCATTTTGTTAGAGCAGTATCTGCAATTTCAGTCATTATAAGTTTCGAATGAGTTCAATCAATAATACTTTCTTAGATTTACGCGAATATTTGACATTTTAAATAAAACTATCTTTTCAGATTATTTCGCGGATTTATTTTGATTTTTGGTTCCCGACGTTTCGAATGCTTTACAGCAATCAGATGTCTCTAAGGAATAGTTGTTACAGACAACCTACCCACAATTAACAAAAATGAAAAATTGCACCAAATACCTTACAGCATTTTATAACTTTAAACATTTTTATAATTTTAATTAATTTTATAATTGAATATGGAGTATTGTTTATTTAATTTTTGCTGTTATCATTATAATTATTACAATTTAAAAAATATTAATTAGTAATATATATTTAGTGCTGCCATTATTATATTTATAGCCATAAAGAAAAAAAAATATTATTTAAAATATTTAGAATTCAATCAAATTCAAAAGTCATAGACTCAGTTGTTGGGTCCGTGTTCCATGGCTAATGGCTATACCGTCATTATCAGAAAGCAAATGAAATATTATAGAAATCATTGCATAACTTCAATACCGTGACATCGGTACAGTGAAGTGGAAACTTAGTCGGTAAATACGCCTTGAACGGACAATAGTTTAAATGAAATTAATTCAAGAACTCGATGCGGCAGTGAAGCGATCTCGCGGTTAAGGTTAAACTCATGAAGTTGTTATAAAAAAATTACGTTAATCATTATCCTATATATAGGTGCTGTTGGCATACGAGTGTGTAGTATGTGCTGGTGTATAAGCTCGCGTTGTAGCTAATCAGAACACACCCGACGAGAACTAACGGCTTTCAGTGCATTGTGATGCTCCCATTGTGAAGTTAAAAGTTCCTCTCATTATTTTCCTATTGAGAAAATGTAGCGGCATCTGAGGCGAGGCTTCCCGGGATATAGTAATTATTGACCAAATATGAGTTCAACGAACGCATCATGTCAGGTGACGTCCTTCTTTATAGGTAAGCTGCCCTTATCGATATTAACCTGCATATCTGTTAAGGCCATTAAAATTATTTATATAAATAGTTTTTTGGATTGTATTATAACGTGTTTTCCCGTGGAAAAGAGACAATCTCCCGCGATAAAAAGTACGCACCAAAAATCAGCCAATCCGTCACTCCGTTCTGACGTGAAAGAAAGACAAACAAACAAACACACTTTCACATTTATAACATTAAGTATGGATGTTGAGTACTTAGTGATTTTTCATTTTTCATTTTGAAATGTTTAACTTCATTGTACCATTCAGTGCGATTTTATATAAATAAGGAATTGAAACGGCGTTGTTTGCGTATTCACAGCATTCTATTATATTATGTAGTTCAAAATGTTTTCAGTGCTGTTATGTAAATGTGAATATTTTATAGGTCGCTAGGACTTTAGTCTATACATATAATAAAATTATAACTAAGCGGAATCTGTACATTAAATATTTTTTGGAAAGTCTTATTGAAATAAACATTATTATCGATACAGAGGCCGAATCTATAGTTTTTACAATTTTTATCTGTCTGTGTCTGTTACCGCATCACAGAAAAACTACTGGAGGGATTTTTATGAAATTTGGTATGGCGATAACTGGTTATCCGGGTCAACATACAGGGTACTTTTTACCGCGGGAAAATATCTCATTTCTGAGAAAAAATACAAAAACTGCAATGTTACTCTTACATTGCAATTTTTGAATTTTTTAAATGTAAAATATGTAAAACATAAGAATTTGATTTTTGGTTATCTGGACGCGGGCGGAGCCGCGGGCAATGCTTGTATGTATAATAAAATTGTTACATCATATGATTAATTAACTAGAATCTAGTCATGATTTCTGCTCAAGATAAAAAAGATTATTGTTCAATACCATTCAAGGAGCAAAACGTGTATTGCAAGAAAAGTGATCAGGTACTGATTTTGAGTTATGTTTAATATCATTATTTCTGAACACATTGAATATTGTTAGGGGCTTAGGTTTTATTTTTATAGCACGTAATATTATTATATATACGCAGCTTATATATCATTATAAAAAAATGTTATTGTACAAGAAGTATTATCGTAATCACTTATTATTACTGTTGTCACATGCTATGCAATTATTATTTATGAACAAAAAAACATTTATCGATGCACAGAATGATGCGTGTTTCTTGTTATACTAATTGAATAAAACATTGGATTGGTAAGCTTAATCAAGGAATATTTAAAAATTTAAAGTAGTACTTAAAAAAAAATTAAACCTAGTACTTTAGGGCAGTTTTCCAATTACACCACTAAATCGCATTATGCGGCATAATGCTCAACTTCTAATTTTTCCACTACAGCAACACTCCGCACAATCAAGCACTTTGAAAAGTACTGCTTTGGCATGATGTGCGCAACGGATACCAATTCAGTAGCAGAAAAAGTAAGAAGTGGTTTTTCGCGTTGTTTGTGTTTGTGAGCATAAAGTGCGGCATTATGCTCTGTAATTGGAAAACAGGGTAGGACGCGACTGCACCCGTGTGCAGACACATTCCCTAACTTACGCTCAGCGTTTTTTTACGTGACGAAACCTATTCTACGCATCATTGAAAAATTGTTTCTTTATTTTATGATAGTTAAAGCAGTGGGTATTACACATACACATATGGTTTTTGTATATCAATGATGTAGGTAACATTAAAATATTGTAAGGACAAAATGGTTGTCACACTAGAACAATAGGATGTTATTACATAGTAAGAATAGGTTCAAAGTAGTGTAGCTATTATTCTAATTAAATAATCATTTTTAAAACATATTTTAAAATATGATAAGGGCGTTAATTAATATATTGAAGTAAATTAATAGCCTGTATTAAGTTAATAAGTATTTGAATATTCATAACACAGTATAAAAAGTATCTAGGTATAAGTTTAGTTGCGAGGACATTTAAATGCTTACGGAATCTTATAAAACACGTTATATTCATAATCGTAGATATAATCATAGATTACTCTATACAAAATTAAATTATACAAAATTATTAATATATTTTTTATAAAAGATTGCCATTGTATTTAGCGTTCTGAGAAACAGCTACTATTTTATACGCAGCGTTGCAACTTGACCTTTGTTTGTTACGAATGGATTTAAAGGCTATAGCTATACTAATTAAATGACAGGATGTAGCAATTTAACGCATTTTTATTCTTACTTCTTTGAGTTTTCTGAGAGCAATATTTAAGAGCAATTTTATAACAAATATATAATATTTAATAGTTAACTATTAAATTGACAAATAACAGTTACCAAAATAAAAAAAAGTTGTGTAGATTTTAAAAATATTTTATTTTGCTATAGAAAATATATATAATATAAAAACAACTGGAATGGTGAATGAAATGAATATGGATCATTTAATCGTTCGCCTCCTGCGGATTTCAAACTGGCGACTTTCGACGTTATATGCAGTACCAGTCAAAATGGGTTACAACAGTAGATAGAGCGTAGAGTAGTAGAGCAGTAGTGTTCATTTGTTCAACTATCTTTATTCTAGATAGATATAAATTTATACATATAATAAAATTGTAACTAAGTCGAATTACATTAAAAATTTTTTGGAAAATCTTATTGAATTAGCCATTATTATCGATAGGTACAGAAGTCGAATCTATAGTTTTTAGAATTTTTGTCTGCCTTTCTGTGACCGCATCACGAGAAAACCACTGGATAGATTTTGATGAAATTTGGTATAATGATGCTTGGTTATCCGGGTTAACATATATTTACTGCGGGAAAATATCTCATCTCTGAGAAATCTATACTAAATATTAAAACCTAGAGGAGCGAGGGTAAGTCGCTAGTTAAAATATATATATATAAAAATATCAATGAATATTACTACTAAATTTATTATCAATTATTATTATTTAAGTGCACGTCAGCGTAACGTCTTAATATATATTACCTTATTGTTCAAATACATAATATTTTGTTACTGTTAGCGTTTTTCTCATAAATTATAAACAAATGTGTTTTCTAATGGTTTCCTAAAAACTTTAAAGTACCTAATTAATGTTGTAACTAAAATGTAAATAGAGTTCATTAAAACAAGTGTTTGTTTGTTGTTTCAAAATAATGTAAGGTATGCTTTAACTTAATACTTAACTTATTTAGTTAGTAGTAGTTATTTAGTGACCATTTTCGTATTTATTTTTGGTATTGTATGATTTATGTTGTAGAGATATTCGAGAAAGTTATATTTGATTAACAAACCAAGAGTAGATTTTTTCAACTTTTTTGTCTCTTACTGATAGCTAAAAATCTGAAATACAATTTGGTAATAGATGAGAGAGATATCTTCAAACCATATACGCATTATATTCAGAACCTTTAAGACGTGCTAGTACGTAAGACAACAAATCTAAATAATTTAAATATATTGAATAGAAGAATTTACACCGAGAAAAGAATAAATTTTATGTCTCACGCAGTATTTAAGGGATATGTATATTTTAGGTGTGACACAAGTATGTTTCATGCCAGCGCCAGTGGGCGAGTGCACGGGCTGCTGTCCACGGGATAATACTATTGATATTCAATATTACCTTTATACCAGGTAAAGTTAGTAAATATTTTGATCTAAATATAAGAAAAACAAATAGTCTTCATCGTTTCCGAAGTCCTAACTATGTAATTGTTTTAAACTACTTTGGGCTTCCTACAAATAGAGTTCAAATATTCTCGTAAAATTTAATTATTTGTTGTGAATAAATATCTTTAATTACTGAGCAAAGCCACAAAGAGATTCATCCATTATTTGAATATTTCATTTCAACTAACAACATGGAAAAATGATTTTAATTCAACGTACTGACTAAATATATATCACTGTAGGAGTCCGGACCCGATTCAAGACTGCGTCTCGAATAGAGCCAACTTTGCTCGACACTAGACTCAAGTCTCATATTGGGAAAATTGTGATTCAATATGATAAATTTCAAAAAATTAGAAATATTTACACTATTATATTTTAACAATGCACAGAAAAACTATGAAAATAAGCCTTGAAGTAGATATCGTTTTTCGATTAAATGAATCATTATCGGCTTTCGTTTATTTCTTCATAGTATATTCAATAAGCTTTATTAAGCATACTAGCAGAGCCCGCGGCTTCGCACGCACTTAAACTATAAAAAGACTAAAAATAGGTTTCATACAAACTTTCATACTCTATTTTACCCCCTTATCTGATGAATTTCGAAAAATACTAAAATACGTAATTATTTAATTGTATTGAAGAGCATTAATACCAAGTTTCAAATAATTCTGATCATAAATATTTTTTTGTTGATTTATGTATTTATAAAGGCTTGTAGTTATGTGACCTTGGCCGATAGGAATGTATTTAAAAAAAATAAAAAGGACGCGGATATTCATTTGTTTTCCCGCGCTTGACATGGGGGAGATGTCAGTACCACCCAGTAGTGATTAGGCATGGATTGTTTGTAATACTGAAAATTATTGTTTTAAATTATGTAACTCATTATTTAAAAGAGTAAATGTTGAGTTTTTTACCGGCTCTTCTCAGCAGAACTGTTTTTCGAGTCGGTGGTAGCTTCCACATGGACAGATGTACTGACGGTTATAAAAGTACCTACTAAATATAAGAATATATTATGCAAGGAAGATCTTGAAGTTTAATTAAAAGTACGGTACTTTTACGCACATGGCTGTTTGGTAATAAGCATTTTTCTGTCGATAGTTGCACTTTGGTTATGTTTTGTTTTTCTGGTTATTTTAAAATTGAACAATATTTATATACCTAAGTATTGTTTATTTTTTATAATTATTTTATTTTTCATAATAAAATGCTTATAACTCTGTTGGTACTTTTACGCACATGGTTGTTTTTTGCATAACTGGGTCCAATTAGTGACTTCTTACAGTACTAAGTAAATTAGCTTATATGTTATTTTCATTTCATAAGCCGAGCTATTACCATTCGTATTTTTACTTAAAACAGTTATTGCGTCAAAGGAAACAAACACACCCAAGTACAAATGTTCGTATTAATAATTAGCAACCTATTTACGTTCTAGGTCCAATCCAAGATTTCCAGAAATCATTGACCCTAATGTACCGAATGGTTTATCCCAAACACGTTTTGATACCAACAGACCAACTATCATATATTTATTTGGGTTCTCAGAGGCAACCACTGGACCGAGTACTGTGAATTTAAGAAATGGTAAGTGAATATAAACCATTATTCTCTTCTGACATAACTGTCAATTTATTCCGGTTACTTGTTATGTAACAAAAAATCTTTTGAAATATAGCTTATAATAAAATAGTAACAAAGCGATATCTGTACATGACTGTTACGTATTTTGTACAGATTATATAGATCCCGATTCCATAGTTGTTGAAATTTTTGTCTATTCGTCTGTTTATCCATTTTTCACACATAAATCACTGAACGGATTTTAACTATTTTTTTGTATCTCTCATTTTTACGAATAGAAAGAGCGATAAACGAAAATGCTTGTATTATATAATTTGTAAATGTTTTGTACCATATAGCTGAAGTATGGCCATATTTTGTCGAAAAAGTTATTTTCATCAAAACAATAGGTAATAGTAGTAAATTGTAGGTCTTAAAACGCTTATAGAAAAGTCTGCGATAACATGTGTCTGTGTCCTGACGTACAATTATAATAACTATTTTATCTATTGAAAACGCACTCGAGCGAAGCAAGAATAAGTCGTTAATTTACTATATTTATATTAGATATCGTTACTTTATACGTATAAAAATAATTAGTTCGGAGTGTCTATCCGTCCTTTAATAGAACGAATAAAAAATAATTATTCGTCTTTTATAAAATATATAAATTATAAGGAAGGACGAATAGATTACTAAATAAGTAAGTAGAACGAGTAGCTCGGCTCAGCTCGATAAGTTAAGGTTATATTTTTTTGCATACAAAAACTCCTGCACCTAAAAATAATTTTTTAACCATAAAAAAATGTATTTAAAAATCATGGGGATTTAAAAGAATAAGTTTCCAGCTCGGAAGGTTAAGGTTATTTTTTTGCGTTTAGAAACACCTGCACCTAAAAATCACTTATTTTACATTGGGAAACAAAAATGTGGTACCTAAATATTCGTACAAGCCAACAATAATCGGACGAATAATATATTTTTTATTCACCCGATTATCGGACGAATAGGAACAGCCTAATCTATACATATAATAAAATTGTAACAAAGCCGAATCTGTACATTAGATATTTTTTGGAAAATCTTATTGACATAATCGATACAGAGGCCGAATCTATAGTTTTTAGAATTTTTGTCTGTCTGTTACGGCATCACAGAAAAACCAGTGGAGGGATTTTGATGAAATTTGGTATGGTGATAGCTGGTTATCAGGGTCAACATATAGGATACTTTTTAACACGGGAAAATATATCATTTTTGAGAATAAATACAAAAACTGCAATGTAAGAGTATACTAATAGGTATGTTAAATAATACTTTCTTAGATTTACGCGAATACTTGACATCTATATATATAAAAGAAAGTCGTGTTAGTTACTTCGCTTATAACTCAAGAACGGCTGAACCGATTTAGCTGAAAATTGGCAGGGAGGTAGTTTAGAGCCAGGAGAAGGACATAGGATACTTTTTATCCCGTTCGACCGCGTTCCAATTTTTATGATATTTTAATTTTTGGATTTCTCTTAGTCCGGAATAGGTAAGTATTAAAACATATAATTAAAATGTGAGAAAGAAAGATTTTTTCTTTTTATATCTATTTAAAACGTACCTAGCGACGAACCCGAGCGAAGCGAGGGTGAGCCGCTAGTTTTAAATAAAACTATCTTTTCGGATTTTTTCGCGAATTTATTTTGATTTTTGGTTCCCGACATTTCGAATGCTTTACTGTAAAGCATTCGAAATAAATGATTGCTGTAAAGCATTCAAAACGTCGGGAACCAAAAATCAAAATAAATTCGCGAAAAAATCCGAAAAGATAGTTTTATTTAAAAGGTATGTTAAGCCTAAGATTTTGGTTTTTGGTCATCTGAACGCGGGCGGAGCCGCGGGCAATTCTAGTTAATTATAAACATAAGATACACTTAGTATACATATGTAGGTACCTACTTGGAACATTAACATCGAAATGGCTAATTATTCTCTTGAAATCAGCATAAATTGACACATGTGTAACGAAAAACTTTAATTCATATATTAATTATTCATTACAAAGAGTAAAATGAAATACAGGGGTATCCAATAAATTCAATACTATTATTTCAGCGTTTCTCAGAAGTGGTGATTACAATTTTATTGGCGTTAATTGGTCGCGACTCGTCGTTTTTCCGTGGTAAGTGAATTATCAATTTAAATATTCGATCATTGTTCAATTATAAATCTCTCAGTAATTAAACATTATTAGACTACTATTATAAATGCAAAAGTTTGTATTTGTGTGAGTGTATGTGTATCTATGAATTTTTTTTATATATTTTCTATATTTCTTTTTTTTTATATAGATATAAATATTTGACAAAAAGGTGTTTTTATGCAGCATGTTTGTTATTAGGTACTGCATTCATATTTATCACAAAGGTAGGTTATTGTAGTGGACGACCATAGGAGGTTATAATATTTTTATGTATTAACCAGCGGCTCACCCTCACTCCGCTCGTTTTCGTCCGTAGTGAAAAACAAAAACAAATATATCCCACGGGAATACTATATTTTTCCGGGATAAAAAGTAACTTATGTGGTATTCCAGACTATATAATCTATTTCAATGCCAAATTTCATCCAGATCTGTTCTGCCGGTCTGGCGTGATTGAGTAACAAACATCTATCTATCCAAACTTTCACATTTATAATATTTATGGGATGGGATTACTTATTAAGGTTCTCATTTTGTATACAGGTAGACACCATATTATATTGGTATAGTTGTTAGTATATTTTAACTATTTGTTTTTTCCTGTGTATGCAATTATTTATTTTGATGTAAGCATGTAAATTAATTATTGTTAAAATAAACCAAAACAAAAATAAATTATATAGTCGTTATTTGTATTTGTAATATTCATTCCGAATTATTTTCCCATATTTTGATAAATAAATATCTTAGTAATATACGAGTAGATACGATAACTTATACAAGTACGTTTTACAAGTATATTCTTTAATTAAAATTATTTTGTTTCCATTTTCATGTAACAGATTTATGCTTGTAGGTACATAATATTTAGGTAATTGTAGGTGTCCCTTGCATCTCATACATTGACCTTATTTTAAATTCAAGGTTATACCAAAAAAAAAATCCATATATCCATATACAATTTTATTACAACGTTGTTATTTATTTTTGATATATTTTGAAATATTTCGTCGGTAATTGTCCTTCACGGTGTTAACTTTAGCCTCTAATATTTTACATTAATGATTTTATACAGTAATATTTTTGGTATATATTCTTTAATAATTATAAATTAAAAAAACCTCTACGCAAATTGTCATTTAACGATTACACTGTCACGCGTGAACCACTTAATCGAGTAATCATAAGCCAAAATGCCTTACATCATTTTGGAAAAGAGCTGATACTTTTAAACTGCTCGACCGATATTAACCAAAACATTGCTAAGAACCACCGCAAGGAAACTGGCTTTGAAATGAAAAAAACCGCATCGAAATAGGCCCATCCGTTTGAGAGCTACGATGCCACAGACAGACACACACACACACACAGACAGACATCGACGTCAAAATTATAAGATCCCTCTTTTTGTGTCGGGGGTTAAAAAAACCCTATTCCAAAATTGACCTTGAGATCATGAATGTACTCTCCCGAGTTACATAGTTTGTCAAAATTTAGGAGATTTTTAAATATTTAAAACCATATCTAAGATATTTAATGTATTAAGACTTAAATGAAAGATATTTTTAATAATAATTATTTAATATAACGATATTATATAAAATGTACAAGTTCTTATCTCATTGAGGAAACAGGTCATGTACCTAGTACCTACCTGACCTAAACAGCTTCCCATTAACATCACTTGGCGGAGGCAGGATAAATTATTCATTCCAACATATTGTAGACATCACAATTGTATTTTCCATATGAATTAGATTGTGCTCTTTGATGCTCGAGTTAAACTTAAGTGGTTTTGTAAGAAGAGTCCAGCAGAAACGTATTTAGATTAAGATGATACGACTTACGGATAATCCAACCTATCTTTGTCCATGGTTATCTGGAAATGTTTATAATTATATCCTATTCTACATTTTTAATGTGGAATTAAACAAACATTTATACGTACACAAAACACATTTTTTTTGCCTATTGTAATAAGGACATTGATTGGAAGGTTTTTATGCAACAATCATTAATACTGACGTATAGTAAACATCGATATAAATATTATTATTTATTATAAAACTGCTAATGTTACATTGTACCATTATTGAAGTTGATTACGTTTAAAACATTATTAAAATTAAAAAAATATAGGTATACTCGTAATGTGTAAAAAAATTAAGTATGACATGCAAAAAGTGCTGTTTATACGAGTACGTCCTCTGAGTTGATTAATTTACAAAATCGCTTCAATAATATTCAAATATATTTTATTTTATACATATGTATATTACTAACGATTTACCCTTGCTTCGCTCGGGTGCTATGCGATTTTTGTTCATAACTTCATGGATTTTAATTTTTTTGCGCGGAAGCCTATTCTTATTTTAAAATAAAAGTAGCCTATATTGCTCCTTATAATATCAGCTATCGACCAGTGAAAGTCCCGTCAAAATTAATCCAGCGGTTTCGGAGATTAGCCGGAACGAACAGACAAAAAGACAAAAAAATTAAAATTGTTTTTCTCTAATGAGTACATAGGTGCCGTATGTATATTTCATATGTATTTAGTAAAAAGCTATTATTTTTAACTAGCATTGCCCGCGGCTCCGCCCGCGTTCAGATGACCAAAAACTAAATTCTTAGGTGTTACATATTAGTATACTCTTACATTGCAGTTTTTGTATTTTTCCTCAGAAATAAGATATTTTCCCGCGGTAAAAAGTATCCTAGGATCGCGCGCTACATCGCCCGGTTTATATAGCTTGAGCAGGCGGTCGAGCGATGCGGGGCAGAGGGGATGGACTCGCCGTAGGCATCTCAATGCTCGCCAAGCATTAAAAATGTTTCGCTACTAATTACTTCTAACAACGATATCTCAAAAACTATTCATCTGATTGATTTAGTGTAAAGAGCAATTTTAATCTGCATTAAATGACTAAGCTAACTAAAATATTCATTTGGATAAGGATTAATACCGAACTAAAGAAAATAACTTTGAAAATAACGTAATGTTTTTAATTAAAAATGTTAACATAAAAGTGGTTATTGTAAGTCAACCGTAAGAGATAGAGATATGCTATCGCGGACTTTTTTGTAGCATTTTTATAGATTTTGAATTCTCTAGTACATTACTTAACTGTATCTTTGCTAGTTTACGCGGCGTTCGCGTGGAAAGTTCCCATTTGGCGAGATTTTTTGCGACCTCTTCAACATTTGTCGCCGTATTTCAGCTAATTTACATAAAAGCATAATAAATTATATACCTAAACCTTCCTCAAGAATTACTCTTTCTATTGTTGAAAACCGTATAAAAATCCGTTCAGTAGTTTTCGAGTTTATCGCGTTCAGACAGACAGGAGGACAGACAGGAGGACAGAAAGACGCGGCCGGGGGACTTATTTTTATAATAAGTATAGATCTGTATAGATTTTATTTTTAAGTGTGTTTTACAATGTATGTACGTACATATATTGATATTTTCAATACATGTATTTATTTATGTATTTTAGGTATATATCGGCAGTGCGGAACACAAGGTATATGGGAGAACAATTAGCAAACTTCATAGAGTTCCTAAACAATAATGGTGTCCCTGCTGGATCCTTGCATGTCATAGGATTTTCATTAGGGGCAGAAGCCGCTGGATTTGCCGGGAAAATTCTGAACAGTAGAGGCATTAGATTGGGAAGAATAACTGGTAATAAAATTATTGTGTACAAGTCTAAGTATTACAGATGAATTGTGTTTGACCGACTTCAAAAAGGCACTGTGTCCCAAGTCAATTGTACTTTTTCTGTGTGTGTATTAATCAATATCTTTGCCAAATATGAATCGATTTTCATAATCCTTTTTTTTAATTTTTAAAATAAGACACATGAATTATACTAACAGTACATATAACAATATTTTTACCCGCGACGGCCACGGAGACGGTATATGCGTTCGGGGTAAGATGTGTTTGTGTGTGTGTCTGTTACCATTTTTCTCGGAAACGGCTAGGCCGATTTTGAAACCGTTTTTTTTGTTTTCTATAAGTCACAGCTTGTACATATTAAGTAACATGTGCCAGTAGCTTTATTGTTAATTAATGTGCATTCTACAACACAGGTTACGCACGACGTATAAATGATGCGGAATGTCGTGGGTTTTTGTTTTTTTTTTTATTTGAAGTTTTTCATGTCACAATTTTACGTCATGGGTATTTTAATTATCTACTTGTCACTAATTACTATGCAATCAAAATTAGAAAATCGATTTTAATTTACCCCTAATAATTGTCGTATCGATTTCGATCGACTTTGTGAATATGTGAAATGTGGATGATTACAATATTTGATTGATGGGGGTAAATAATTGAACACTAAAATAGCAACTAATAAAAGCTTCGAATTTGTCGAGCTTTTCATTAGTTTTTTCTAACTATAACTTTATTTAATATTTGACCATTAAACATGACCCTGCTTTGTTTACGACTATAAAGATGTTCTTCTGACCGATTCCGGCCAGGGCGGCCAATCTCATTGAGAGTAGCCAACTGCGCAGGAGATATTATAGTGCACAAGTGTACGCGCAGACACAAGTGTACTCTCTATTCCTGTCACTCTCAAACTTTGGTGGGACGACCACTCGACACGACCAGTGAGAGTTAAGGCGCAGGACCGACGGCTTTACGTGCTCTCCGAGGCACGGGGGTGAAACACCGCCAACTTCTCAACTCTGGGCTGTTACTAAGGCCTACTATACAGAAATACTCAATAACTAAACTTGGCCCGACCCGGGACTCGACCCAGGACCTCTGGGTGTGCAGCCGTACATGCTAGCCACTACAACACCGAGGCAGTACGGAGCTCAAGCAATATTTTTAAGTCTGCTAGGCTGAATTAAAAATGAAAGCTTACACACCTACATATATCAGTATAAAAACGGTAAAACAAGTAGAAATATAATAACGATATCTACAGGCATACGCAATATGTGTTCATGAAGGCGAAGGTCACGGTCAAATGGTTTTTCCACTTAATACTAACGTATTGCAATTGTGCATTCTGTGGGCGGAATTGAAGGCAATTATTAGTTTGTTATAGAGCTATTGTTGAAGTCTATCTGGAACATAAGTACTTTGCTCTTATTCTCGTCATATTCATATATACAATGGAGATACTAGAACAGATTTCTTATGATAGGTATACTTAGAGATGTTCGCTGGCTCTGTTCAGGTGTAAAGTATTCTTATTAAATATATTACATATTAAATTACTTACTGCATATAGTTATAAATGTGTATACTCAAACTAAATAATATCAAATTATCTGATGTGACTCGCACGCCCGCTTTCGTATCTTATAATATTTTCATTTTTCACATAGCATGGTGCGGGTGACAGTTGTCAAACCGTTCCTTTTCACTAATGGATGTTCCTATGATTTATAAACATGGCGTAATATTTCTGTTCTAACCTAAATATTGTGAGCAAAAGATAAGTACTAAATAATTATTGAGAACTAGTAAGTCAACAAACCTCTAATATGTAACTATTTTTAAATAAATTTTAAAAATATGCGATTTTTTATGCATGTAATGTAACGACTTAGTGATGGGATATTATTGACAGGATGGATGGTAGTTTTGCCGGAAATCAAGATAACCCGTTTTTTTACCCTTAAAACTCACCCCCTCCTATTTCCCGACCTCAGATCGCCCGTAAATTATTTTTCCTTTCATTTTTGTTATATTCTCTTCCTTTTCCAATGGGTTTCATCCTACTACTCTTTTCAACCGACTTCAAAAAGGAGGAGGTTCTCAATTCGACTGTATGTTTTTTTTTTTTATTTTTTTTTTTTATTTTATGTTTGTTACCTTAGAACTCCGTCATTTATTAACCGATTTGGACAATTTTTGTTTTGTTTGAAAGGGTGTACTTCCAGATTGGTCCCATTTAAATTTCAAAAAAAAATACCACCCCTAAGGGTGGAAAAACAACTAATGATGAATTTAACCTACTTCTAATTGTCATATTGACTTGAAACTTTGCAAGTATTTCTATTTCCGTTGATAGTACAGTGGTTCGGTGTTGTTGACCTGATCTGATGGCAAGGCCAGAAGGTGGATAGGTGGAACTCTTCAACGGCTAATAGTAGATACTTTGAGTTTGGGCTTATTTTGTTTGATTTGACAAGCCTAACACGTTAGAATCCTTACTTTGCTACTACTGTCTACACTAAAAAGGGAAAAATAAAAACTTTTTAACAAAAAAATAAAAACCGACTTCAAACAAAAGCACTAAAAAGTAACAAATAACTGATTGGTAGTTTTCATTTACTATACATACCTAATCAAATATTTTCGAAATCGGTGCCAGCCCATACAAAGCTAAGCACACCGACTTCGAAAATATTTGATTAGGTATGTATAGTAAATGAAAACTACCAATCAGTTATTTGTTACTTTTTATTGCTTTTGTTTGAAGTCGGTTTTTATTTTTTTGTTAAAAAGTTTTTATTTTCACTTGTTACCATTTTCAAAGACTACAGCCCTGGTCTATTAATTAACCTCATCGATAAAATTTGTATCAGCCGTACCATGCTATAATGTGAATACTATAATGGTAAAAACATTCACCGGCGCGGAGATAAAAACTTAGCAAGGTGTAATTGCAAGAATACCTATTGCTTAAATTTATCTACAATAATATCAAAGGATAATCGTGTTGAATATATACTGCGACGTTTCTAAAAAGTAATGAGATAAATATTTAAAACATTTAAATAACTAAGTTTTAAAAATATTTTGTAAAAAAAACATAAATTCAAACAAATTTAAACTTTTAGGTCTAGATCCAGCATATCCGGGCTATAGTTTGGGCGGTAAAGATGCACATCTTTCTAAAGGAGATGCGGTTTTTGTTGATGTACTACACACAAACCCCGGCGTATTTGGGTTCCCAGAGGCGATAGGTGATGTTGACTTTTACCCGAACCAAGGAAGTTGGATACAACCTGGATGCTGGTTCGATGAATTAGTGAAGAATAAAGAATTTAGATATTTTTGTAAGTAAATTGTTATTCATTTCTTTAAGTGTAAGATTTTAAAAGAATATTCTATATTTTAAATATATTTAATTTACTAATATGTAACTTTTATTTGTAATTTGGAATTTTCTGAGTAGCAATAAGATTTCAGCAGCGTTAGGGATATATTTAAAAAAATCTTAAAATGTAAGAAAAGTCAATGCGGTCGTAAATTAAATTAATATTGTGTAATGTAAACCAAGGATAAAAATAAAAAGATTTAGAAAAGGAGCATTGCGGGAGTTCGCTGTTGTTTCTTTACCAGCTGGTTGCATACATTTTAATTTATCTATCAGGCAAATAAAGTTTTTATCTCGGAATGGAAGGTATGAAAGATAATAAATAAGCTATATGTTACTAAATAATAAATAACCTTTCTTGCGCTGTTTATACATATGTTCACTGAAAAGTATCATATTATAATCTGGTAGGCAGGTCTGGTAACCTACCTATATCTATCTATGCATGTATTAAAATTGTAACTAAGCCGAATCTGTACATTAAATATATTTTGGAAAATCTTATTGAAATAGACATTATTATCGATACAGAGGCCGAATCTATGGTTTTTACAATTTTTGTCTGTCTGTCTGTTACCTCATCACGGAAAACCCACTGGAGGGATTTTTATCAAATTTGGTATGGTGATAGCTGGTTTTTCACACGTCTATCGAAAACTTGTTTGGTTTTCTCAGACATGCAGGTTTCCTCACTATGTTTTCCTTCACCGTAAGGTAAGTGGTAATTATGTTACATTATTCACAAATAAAAATATCACAGGTGTGAGATTCCGCATTTGAACCCGCTTCACTCAGTTTCCCAAGCAAGCGCGTTGCCACTGGGCCACCACTGCTTTTAATAATATTTTATTAATTTTAATTTAATATTTTATTAATGATATATAATCTATTTATTTAATTAATATTATAAGCTATTAGGAATCTCGAATATAAATTATGTGTAAGTATTTTGTTTCCTTTGCTCAAAATAAGATTTGAAGTCATTATAAAAGTCGTATAGCGTAAAACACTTCACTCCACTTTGATATTAACTCTTAAACAATATTTTATATAATCAACTGCTCTCGAGAATTGGGTGAAAAGAGTAGGAAGAAGCGCTTAGTAGCCATATATATGCCTTGCTTGTTTTATTTCTCAATTAACTTTACTATCACGATTTGGTAAATAGCAAGGAAATAGTTACATCACAATTAAACTTAATATAAATATGTATATTGTACATAATAACATATGTATATTGCATGTACATATCTATAGACTTCAATCCTTATGGTATATTTAACATACGCATTATAAAAGGAAACTCCTTTATTATAAAAGTTTCATTTTGTTGTGAAACTCAAACGCGAATGGCCATAATATTTTGTCATAAACATGTGTAACATTTTAATAAAAGGTATGAAAAAAAATGTAAAAATACGTGTTATTGTTTTGAACAATACTTTAAAGTCAACTGCTCCGCACCCTTTATTGTTTGGGGAAGAATGATTTTGCCTCCCGTAGATTCTTTTTTAGACGATCGATGCTCTGACGTCACCACGGATGCTGAAGGACAATGAGAGTGGCCTGGTTACGTAGATTATTTAGATTTTTATAACGTTGCATTATAGTATTACCGCCAATTTTATGATATACGTACATACATACATATAAAAGTTAGATGACTTTAGACAAAATAAGTTAAAAAATTAATAAATTCTAAAGTATTTAAAAAAATCAATAGAAAATTAAAAAAAATACTTTAGTTCTAATGAGTTTACATAGTTTGTAATAATAATTAGCAATAATAACAAGAGAATAATATAAGTTACATGTAAATACCTATTAATAGATTTCGGTTAAAAAATGCATTCTGATACTATTTTTAATGTACCTATAGTGCTATGCTTAAGATACTATTAACAGATACGCGAACGCGAGTAAGAAATAAGTAACAGTTATTTTAAACGTAGTGAAGTAGATCTAACAAAGGTTTCAGCAAAGTTACATCACATATTATTTGGAAGCGATATCGTCGATCCAGTTGGCCAGCGTCCAGAGATTGATTGCTGTATCCAAACGTCAATAGAGATTAGTTATCTTAAAAATGTCGGAACGATTTTCCTTATTAGTTATTTAGGGAAAGTAATATTCAGTTCAAATTTAAGCTGAATAGTCAGCAAGCCGGTGTAAGGGCCTTCTAACCGATTTCGTCAACGGTGGTTACGGTGTACTCACAAATCACAATTTCTTTCATAGAAGGACCTTTCTCGATTCATTTACGCAGTGGTACCCGCTTTTTCTAATAATTTACTTTTAAAATTGTGGTGGGACGTCAATTCGCCAAATTCGTCAGATGAAAAATCAGGCGTAGGACCGACAGCTCAGCATGCTCTCCGAGGCATTCACTGTCCAACTCTGTCCTGTTTCGTGGAATTTAATTATAATAATTCAAAATTTATATAAAATTAGTTTATTTTAATAGAAATAACGCAGTTTTTTAGTGATATATTTTAATCTTATAAATGGTAAAAGCATTCAAAATTACCTCGACATAATGTAAATAGCGGTTCAGTAAAATATGAAAAAGCCGAATCACGCGCTATCCCTCAGTTATCCGATTAAATATATCTAGTGGTAAATATATATGCGAGCCTCTCAGATGAAGGGTTATGTATTTTCGTACTTTACGATCCGGATGTTGTAAGAGGGTTTTATAAATATTAGATTCTGTTTTTATGATATAAAATTCTTACTATGCTTATTATTTTAATATATATAAGAAAATGTATGTTACTTTGTTGTTTTATTAGTTCGATTTCCTTTTTTGATGTGAATTTGTGTATAGTGCAACGGTAAGCTAGAGAGTTAGTAATTTATAAGTAGCTATACGTTTATAAAATACAAGCGAGTAGCGACTCACCCCCGCTTTGCTCGGGTTCGTACCTAGGTTGATTCCCCGTACAAACTTTCATCCCCATTTTCACCCCCTTAAGGGATGATTTCCGGAATAAAAAGTATCCAATCGTTCCCAGTACCTATCCTTCCCAGGGTCTCAAACTATCTTCTTACTAAATTTCATCTAAATCGGTTCAGTAGATCCAGAGATTACCCCCTACAACGTCACAAACTCACAAACTCACAATTCACAAACTTTACCTCTTTATATTATTATAGTATAGATACGAGGCATAGGCACTTAATTTAAATGCCTAGAATGTACTTTGTTTGAGAACTTATATATTATATATTACTAGTTAGTCACCCTCGCTTCGCTCGGGTTCGTGATTCATCCCTAGGAACGTTTTATCCGTTAGATATATTTTATCGGATAGATTTCTCATAGATGAGATATTTTCCCGCAGTAAAAAGTATTTTATATGTTGACTCAAATAACTAGCTATTGTCATACCAAATTTTATCAAAATCTGTACAGTGGTTTTCTCGTGATGCGTTCCCAGACAGACAAAAAATCTGAAAATTCCATTCGGCTTCTGTACCTATCGAAAATAATGACCCTTCAATAAGATTTTCCAAAAAATATTTAATGTACAGATTCCATTCAGTTACAATTTTATTATATGTACCTATAGACTATAATTAAATATTACAACAAAACAAAATACAAGTAAGAATCTTTATAAAACTTCTAAGGATTAAAAAATAAACAGTCGAAGTAATGCGCTATATTTTTCAGATGGTTGCAGTCATAATCGATCGTGGAGACTTTACACGGAGTCCGTTTTAAATCCCACGGGCTTTCCCGCGACATTATGTAGGGACTGGACGAGCGCGACATCCAGATGCCAATTCACTTATGATGGATACATGGGATTTGGCGCACAACCACCGTAAGCCGACTTTTCTTAATTATATAGAAGTTAATATTAGCCATTAATGTCAATATTCTTCAAAGATCAATTTTTGTACAATCACTTTGGCTTTTCGCTCTTGCTTTTGTCTCTCATATTAAGTTGAATTGAATATTATTTACTACAGCCTTAGATAATATGTTGAAAATATGAAACATTCAAATACACTTTACATGCTGTTCCTTCTTTTCCACCTGTCGCGGATTCGAGTCCCGCTGGAGGCATTCATTTGTGTGATGAGCACGAATGTTTGTACTCCAGTCATGGGTGTTTATATTTATAATATGTATGTATTTATAGTTATACCTATATGTGTAATGTGTCAACTATCTGGTATCCATAACACAAGCCTCGTAGCTTACCATGGAACTAGATGGTGCTGTGTGTTAACGTCCCAACATATTTATTTATTTATATTTATTTAAATGTTCGAAATCAAAAGATATAACTATTTACATGACACAGTTTAGCGCTCACTCATAAAAACTTTTACAGTACTTCCAGTTGACCTAAAATCACGAATTTTGACAAGAAATTAGGTCTCACAAAAAAAAAAGAAAAAAATCTAAAATAGTTTGTAGTTACATCACGATTGTTTTTAAGTTTAGCAATACGAGCTTGAGGATTATGACGTAGTACAAACCTGATGATATGACCGAAGACGATTTATATGGGTCATGTATATATCTGATACTAGCGGCTCACCCTCGCCCCACTCGGGTTCGTCCCTAGGAACGTTTTAACAGTTAGTATGGATTAGATAGACTATATTATATTATATGATGTATAGCCTATAGGTTATAGCTTTCCTCAATAAACGGGTTATCTAATGCAAAAAGAATTTTTCGAATCAGTTTATTAGTTCCTGAGTACTAGGTACTAAAAGTATGACAATATTATTAATTGAATTTATGCAGATTTTCTTGGCAAGTGTTACAGCTACTCGTAAATGTTGTATTTATTAAAGAAAAAAATAACAAAACAAAAAAAAATCGAAATATTTTTTTACTTTGCGAATTTGTAATAGATTTTAACAAGAGATATAAAGCTTATAACAGATCACCGTCAGCTGATACCGCTACTGCAAATGCAAAGAGATATGTGTTATCTAATCGAAATCTTAGAACCTATTTCCTCTGCTGATACTAATCCCAACGTTTTTCTATTTGGAATGAATGATGAATATAGCATACATTATAATATCTATCGAGAACAAAAGATATAGTAAAGAATATTTATTTATCTAAATGCTGTGATAAAATATAATAAAACAACAAGTTAGAGTCCCAAATGGTAAGTAAAAGAACATAAAATATTAAAAAATGTAAAACTTTTAATATGATAAATAAAGGAACAAATATATGTGTGTTTACATGTTTAGAATTTCAAATACATACCTCAATTTGGACCATCCATCTTTATAATTTTTCCAATTTCAAATATAAAATCTATATAGAAAAATATTTTGTTGAGAGAGTTTAACATTTAAATAAAGATCACGTTTATAATGTAAGGTTTTACTTAAAAGAAACAATAAAAAAGGAAATTTAGTCATCATTTATTTGTTATTGTCGAGCTTTCGTCTAGGATTATGTAAGAAGAGAAGGCTTCACGCTATAGAATCGATGTAACTTGGGATTTAAGCTCAGCCATCTTAAGCTGATAATCCTGTTGTTTACCCTTTTGGAACAAGTGTCATATACGGAATATGTACATACATACATACATACATACATACATACATACATACTAATATTATGTAATAACAATGGTTTCGAAAATTTATTTTCAAAGATCTATGATAATTCAATGTTGACTGACTGTTTGTCAGTTTGTCTTGAATCTTGGCTCTATAAAGCAGAAGTCGTGTTTTCTAACAGTCGCCAGAGTATACTTTAAAAGCAGAAGGAATTTTATAATAATAGATTTAAGTTTTATTTTTATATTAGGTATAAAATATTGATGATGCACGTCTATAAGTCTGTTGGCAATAGATTTGTGGTCCTATGATATCCATGGAAACGGAAATACAAAATAGAACTATGTCATACTCTTGCATTATTTCTATGCAAAGTATTACGTCAAGAGGAAGTCACATTGTAAAAAATAAGTTTTGCAGTTATATTAAGTTGTGGCACTTGAGAAATTTCTTTAATTTTATGAAAAAAATATTATCAGAATTGAGATGTCGAAACTTTTTACAATGTCTGACTTACTTGGACATTTTAAACAATATATTTTTTAATTGTTTTATTAATTTTATTCTGGTTATGTTTTAAGAATACATGGTTGTGAAGACCATGATATAATAGCTTTGTTACAAAATACTTCAGTTAAAATGTAACACAGTCCATAAATTAATTCTAAGAAACAAATTACGCTAATCGTATGTTCTGTGCGTATTAAAAGAATGAAAAATCTATAAACATATTTACACATTTGTAATTTTAGTAAGGATTGTACTTACTGATGTTTTCGTAGAAGATAGTACATCATAAAACAGAAGTTAAGTAAATATTTGAGGTTGTTTTTACGACTGCAGCTCACAGCTAGTCACGTTCTGGATATAAATCTGATGAAACTGGATTTATGAGTGCAATAATGAAATGGTAGGAGAGATCTTTCTATTTATGATACATACTTGATTTTGGTGTAAATGTAATCTCATAAATATTTAAATGCGAAAGTTTCGATGAATGGATGTTTGTTTGTTACTCAATCACGCCAGTACGGTTAAACGGATCTAGATGAAATTCAGCACAGAGATAGATTATGGTCTAGAATAGCACATAGGTTACTTTTTATCTTGGAAAAATGTACGCTTCCCATGGGATGTCCATATTAACCGTTAAAACGTATATGTACGTAAACGCTAGTATAAAATATATTCTGTAGATAACTGAAAAGAAATCGAATAATGACTTTTTAAATATAAAGATTCGACTTCGACTTCAAGATCAACCTTTAAAAGTATTTTTTTCTCATTCTTCGTGGTGGAATTTATTTTTGTTTAGAAGTTAAAAAAACAAATCATGAAAATCGGCTCTCAATTATTACATATTTATTGAACCTTTTGTGAAATCGGTTAAAAATAGATACATAAAGTAAAATTACATGTCTCTATGCCATTATCTTTTATATTTATATATTTATATATTTTTGGAAGCATTGTCACTTTTCTAATCACTTTCTTTATAAAGAAATCTGTGCGTTTTAATTTTTGTACTTTGTTATAGTTGATTTTTGTTTTTGTTTAGCAATTAATATGTCCCGGGCAATAAAAAGATAATTTTCTCATTAATGATATATTATTGTTTTTAACTGGTTTTTAAAATAAAAAGGTTAAAGATTTGGATGTTTTCTTCGGTGTTAACGTTTCATGGTATTTTATGCACTAATGCTGACACTTACCTTGGTCTTTGAGTGAACATTTTTTACAAGCTTTAGATATGAAGAAACAAAAAAATATTTTTTAACGAGTTTTTTAAATTTCATACTACGAGTAGTTAGTCTTGTAGTAATAAAACTCGTTAAAACATAAATAATTCTCCAAAATACAATATTCTTAAAATAAAAAGGAAATATATGTACCTACTTTCAATGACATATTTTTGTTTTTGTTATTAAATATATTAAACTTGAAAAATGTGTTATTAAATCAATTCATTATTATTTTCAGAATCAAAGGGATAATGTATTTGAAAACAAATGAAAAAGCACCCTTTGCAAAAGGAGGTCCATAGAAGCAAAGAAATATATAAATGGACCAAATATATATAAAAATTAGGTTGCTATCCGTGTACATACGAGTATTTAATTATTGTTGTTATATATAAATTGTTAAAGTTTTTTTGAAGTTTTTTTTTTACAAAAATCTCTTATTGCCTAGCTTAAATTTAATTAACTAATATTAATTTACTAACAGTTAAACATGGTATGAGGTCTATAGGTATATAAGCATAAAGGCAGTGGTAGACTAGTGATAACACGCTCGCTTGGGAAACCGAGTTAAGCGGGTTCGAATCACGATTTCGCACTTCCTATATTCTCATGTGCGAATCATTTCCAACATGATTACCACTGTCTTACTGTGAATCAAAAAATCATAAAGTATCTGCATGTCACGGCCAACCTTCACTTGGCCAGCGTGATGGCCTATGGCCTGATCCCCCTTGAATTAAAGGGAGGCCCGTGCCCAGCTGTGGGACGTATAAAAGGGATCCATACATATATACATACATACATACATATATACATACACACAAGTACAAGGATAAATAGTAAATTGATGAGTAACTAAATATTTTCAGTAAAGAAAACTCACGCTAAAGGAAAATGAGATGTATATAAATAGTTTTATTTAAAAACTTATACATATTTATAATTATTTGATTTATTCAATTATGTATTTAGGTATATTAAGGGTAGGTATAAAGTATATTTATTGAAAAAAAAGACTTATAATGTTTAAAAAGTATAATCTGGTAATAGAAAGATATACTTAACAACAAAAAATATAACAATACTTAGTTATGAAATTTTAGTTTAATAAAATGAAATTCTCAGATGAAAGTTAGTTACTTATAAGTTTTAACTTATAATCCAACGTTATCTGCATTTCGAGATGTTACACTGCAATAGCACTGAGCGTCATATTAGCTCGCAGAATTTAGGTCATACTTGGTAATATTTAATGTCCACTTTTTGTTAGCTAGATCTTGATGCCGCCGGACCGGATATATAAAATATGAGGTCATATATTAGAATGAATATCTTTATGTATCTATACATATAATAAAATTGTAAATAAGCCGAATCTGTACATTAAATATTTTTTTGGAAAATCTTATTGAAATAACCATTATTTTCGGTACAGAGGCCGAATCTATAGTCTTTAGAATTTTTGTCTGTCTGTCTGTTACCGCATCACAGAAAAACCACTGGAGGGATTTTGATGAAATTTGATATGGTGATAGCTGATTATCCGGGTCAACATATAGAATACTTTTTACCGCGGAAAAATATCTCATTTCTGAGAAAAAATACAAAAACTGCAATGTAAGGGTATACTAATATGTAAAACCGAAGAATTTGGTTTTTGGTCATCTGAACGCGGGCGGAGCCGCGGGCAATGCTAGTCGTTATATACGATTACTTTAAAATTCTAGCTGAGTGTTTTTCGTAACAAAATTATTTGTGATAATAAAGTAACCTAATTATCTTACTGAAAGAGATACGTATACCAAGTGTTTTTATAATAACGCCTTCGATAGATAAAACGTGCAAATTATTAATATTGATTATTACTTACTAACATCTAATAAACAGTACCTAGGTGCTGTTCGCGTTACCACACTGGAACTGAGATGTGTAGAGTCAACGATACTTTTCTACTTAAATCCTTTATTACAGTCCCCCGGCGGACCAGATCTGGCAGTCACTATTATTTATACTCAAGTTATTATTTCCTTTTGTAACCCCCAAAGTGTGATAACGTGATAATAAAGTAAATAATGATAGGCTGATCATTGTACCCTTTCTAATTGAATTAGCTTTTATTAAAATAGATATATCACCCATACACGTTAGCGGTATACGATGTTTAATATCTTGATTTAAATATTTTTTATTCAAAAATCAACTACTAATAAGCGTTCACATAAATTGCTATCTAATTGCAATCGCAAAAGCAATACTTAATGAGTCACGATGCTTTTGTATCACCCACCATAATACCCACATTATTGTAACCGATGAATTTATTTTCTATAGTTCTTCATTTTTGTGTACCGTCTTTATGCTTATATTTACTATTAAGATTTATCTTGTTTTCTCAAATACTTAAGTGAATTGTATTCTTTTTTGAGAAATAAATTCTTAAACCGTATATATATACGGCCATGATGACTTCAATTAAAGTCAGATGAACACTCAACACTGGTCGTTGAGTATATACGGTAAGAGACGATAGGTTGAAAACAGAAAAAAAATATTGCGAAAATAGTCTAAACAAATAATAAAATGTTAACAATTTCATAAAAAAATAGTAACAGTAATATTTAGAAGAACACTGTAAAAAAATTGACGATAAAGCAATTTGAAGGCAACAAAACGTCATACCATGCATCCGCAGACATACCCCCGTTTCATAACCACGTTTGCGCAAGCATTTATGAGGCGAGAATAATTGGGACTGAAAAATTGCAGTCGCCAAGTGTGTTCTATTAAAAAAAGTGCAATATGTTTTAAACTAATTGAAAATATGCATTTTATTACCTTATATTTTATGATATAGTTTTGTATAAAGATAAAAGTGTTAATTTTTTACTTTTTTTTTTAACTTTTGAAGCAGTTTCTTCTTTTATATTACAAATAGAAGATCAGCGATTCATTAATCCCGCTACACCGCGGCGTGTCGGTTAACAATAGATTTCTTAGAATTTAAATTAATTTCTTAGAAATTTACCTGGAGGTGTTAATATCATCACAAAAAAGAATGATTATAACCGGTTTATGATTGGTTGAGATATAGCAATAAATCGTGTCGATTAGTTTACTCCATTGCTGCATATAAGGATATCAGACACTAATAATATTAGTAATTAGCTAATCAACAAACTTATATTTTTTATATTAAAATATATTCGCCATAGTATTATTTGTGTATATTTTCCTTAGAAATTTGCCATATAGCTAGTAGCACGTCTACATACATTGGGTTACGAACCGTTCAGTGTCGCAATGGTACTTCCAAGCAACTAGAAAATTGCTAAAATTACTGTAATTAGCCAACTCTTACCACTCGTTTCTTTTACACTTTACCCTGTAAAGCCATGTGACAGTACGCCTATTAAAGGTTTTAAAGGTTATTCAATTCAATTCAATTAAAAGTGCCAAAAATATAGTTTTAATATTTACTACTACTGCAAATGCAATTTTTTTTAATAATGCCTAGAAATACATATTTTATGTTCTAGAGATTGACATAGACTGCTTTTTATACCACCAGTAGCTTAATATATTTCCTTAAAATGGTTTGATGCAAAAATTAAAAATTACATATGGCGGATCACGAGTTTTGTACTGGCAGCAAGCTTAACGCTGGTCTATCTATCTCATGAATCTAAAACAGACCTGCAAAGTCTAGACTCAGGTCCTCATTTACCATTATTATAAACAGGTAAAGTTTGTATGTAAGGGGTAAACTTTAAAAGTACTAATTCGATTCTAAAAATTCTTTCATTAACAGGAAGATATGTTGCCGCAGAGGGCTAAAGGTTATTTTTTATTCCGATAACAATATGGATAAATCATAATGACTTTATTTACAGTCAGAATAATACTAGTCGTTGAGTTGTTTTATCGGTGTGCGTAGTCTAAAAAGTTTAAAAAAAACCATTAGAATGTATGACAAATAAACGGACGGACGCAATCGAGCGAGGCGAGGGTAAGTCATTAGATAGTAAAATAGAAAAGCAGAATATTTTACTCACTCTTATACCTGGTATTGTATGGGGTGGGTAAATGTCTTTTTATACTTTGCCAAATTTAATTAAATGTAATTAATACCTTTTTTATTTTTCTTGTTAGACAATTTGAATTACATAACATATTTTCGACACGTTTGGCTCAGTTTGTAGTGACCCTACACTGTGCCAGCGCTCGCGGGTTCGAGTCCCGCTGGGGGCATTCATTTGTGTGAGGACGAATGTTTGTGCTCCAGTCATGGGTGTTTATATTTATATATATGTATTAAAAGTTATATATGTGTAGTGTATGAACTATCTGGTATCCATAACACAGGCCTCGCAGCTTACCATGGAACTAGATGGTGATGTGTGTTAATGTCCTAACATATTTACTATTAATACATATCTGCCTGATAAGTATAACTAAACAATGATAAAGCATTACATTTGTTGGGTATACTTAAATTGGATTAAAAAGTAAATAGGTACATTTCACTGTTTTATCTTACAATTTGTATATGTAAGATCAGAAAGAAAAAGAAATGCTAAGAGTAATAACATTTATCTTTAAATATATTATATGTATATTTTCCTTCTCCACAAATATGACCGGATGGGAAATAGGAGATAGGTTTTTTCGTTTTATGATTACATCATTCTCGGACGTCTAATAAAAACAAGAACTAACTTCATTTAGATGTTATTATTGTTATATATTCTTTGTGTAGAGACATTGTCAATATTTAATTTATAATTAAATTATACATTAAAATAAATTAATCCTTTTTTTAATTAATATAAATTAAGGTCAAATGGTATAATATGCCGTGCGTTCTCATTGTCATTGATTTACGCGCCAAAGGCCGCGGGTTTGGTATCTGTAAACATCGAATTGGCTATTAAGTATTAATTTAGCAAAAACACAAAAGCATTGCTATAGAAATCATTAATGAAGTTCATGTAATGAAACCTCAAGATTGTGACAACATTGGTTTATCTTTAATAGGTTTAAAGCTAAAAATACATGTCTAATAGTCTTACATCTATACATATAATAAAATTGTAACTAAGCCGAATCTGTACATTAAATATTTTTTGGAAAATCTTATTGAAACAATCATTATATCGATACAGAGGACGAATGTATAGTTTTTGGATATTTTGTCTGTCTGTCTGTCTTTCTGTTACCGCATCACAGAAAAACCACGAGGGATTTCGATGAAATTTGGTATGGTGAAAGCTGGTTATGCGGGTCAACGTATAGGATACTTTTTACCGCGGGGAAATATCTCACTTCTGAGAAAAAATCCAAAAACTGCATTTTAAGATTGTATTATACTAATATGTAAAACCTAAGTATTTGGTTTTTGGTCATCTGAACGCGGGCGGAGCCGCGGGCAATGCTAGATCAATATATTTATTTTAAATTTAATTTTTTTCTATTACTTTACCAACAGTGTAACTGAGGGCTATAAGTAACTGTTAGATAACAATATATAAAAATAAAAAAGGTTTTCTGAATTCAATAAAATTACGTAACTATACTAACTATCGAATTAACGACGATTGTACGATAAACTTGACATCGGCTAGTTCGAAATAGTCTACTTGGAACACGCGCGACTAAATTGAGATTGTGTTTACAGATACCAATGATGAGGGCATTCACGTTTTCATTTGGCGTAATTTGCCTCGCTGATAGCGCGTAAAAATGCCTCGGGATATATTCTGTAATGTGGCCATATGACTGTGGTAAGTTCAAATATCTTGGTAATATATGTCTTGTTAGTAATAAATAAAATAAATTTGTTTTATTACATATTGTGACAATTGTAACACTAAAAATTGTATACTTTTTTAAGTACGTCTTATGATGAAATGATGAAAAAGTGAAATGTTTAACTATGCAAGTTGAATATTTTAAAAAGATATTTATTTGATGATTCGATAAGTTCTTTTCAAATATATACATGTACATGGTTTTTGAATAAATGGGTTCGAGATGGTTAACTGATCTAGTGTAGTTTAGTTAGTTCTGTCATCCACTGAAATGTTTATACGGTGAATGTGTAGTGTATGAAAGCATAGCAAGGAGCGGGTTTTTTTATGTCCCTCCAATCTAAGCCGCAAGTGAAATATAGATAGTATGAAATAATGAAAAATCAATTTTAAGCTATTATAATACTTTCTTAGATTTACGCGAATATTTGACATTTTAAATAAAACTATCGTTTCGGATTTTTTCGCGAATTTATTTGGATTTTTGGTTTCCGATGTTTCGAATGCTTTACAGCATTCACTCTCCCGTGACCATGAATGCTGTAAAGCATTCGAAACGTCGGTAACCAAAAATCCAAATAAATCCGCGAACAAATCCGAAAAGATAGTTTTATTTAAGCTATTATTATAAAATAGCTAATTAGGCATGAAATTAATAAAATAAGCGACTAAAACCTATATATTACGTAAGTTTATTAAAGCTACTGAGAGATAATACCATTAGCCAATACGGCACGCATTGATTAGGTATGTAGTAAAAGCACATAACGATCCATTTATCATTCGACAAGAGTCATGAAGATTGTCTGATAACCCAATAAACCTTTTAACGCCCTTTCTGAAAGTAGTTCACTAAGAAATAATTACTAACATATTTATCAAAACATACATACATATATGTATGTAACATATTTATTATGAATTAAGTTTGTTGGTATATTATATAAAAAAGGAAAAATGTTACAAAAACTAAAGTAATCTATATAAATATCATCTAAAGTAATCTATGTAATTCCGATCGACTGCACCAAATTGGATAATTCTTTTTTTGTGTGTTGTTTTGTTTGTATCCAGACAAGTTTTGTATAGAAGAAAACTTAAAATAATTTTTTTTAATAAAATAAGTTTTTTTTTAAATCTCATGATATGGAAAGTGAGTGAGTGAAATAGTTTTTATCCCGGAAATCATCCCTTAAGGGGGTGAGAATGGGGATGAAAGTTTGTATAGGGAAGCAAGCTATGGACGAACCCGAGTAAAGTGAGTTGCTAGAAAAAGATAAAAGTAAAGTTTAGTAGTATACTTTATTTTCGAATTTTCTAGTTTATTTTCGTTTTTTTTTACATGTGATGTTACGTTATTACAATTTTCTATTTGCAACTATGTGTATGCGCTTAGCCATTTACATTCATTACATTTATTATAGTTTCTCTGGTTGAGGAAGTCTGAATTTAGTGCAATCCTGCCCAGTTCAGGCTGAGTGCTCATGTATTCCTGATACCAATTCATTGCGAGGTCTTCATTCCATTTTAAATTGAGAAGAGCGAAATCCATTAATTCTAGTTCGAACTGAGTTAAACGTGGGATATTCACTTTATCACAAATGCCCTTATTATTCAAATAAACATTCATTCCCAAGAATCTAGAACATTTAAAAAAAAACTCGTTTAAGTTAAGGTTATCTTATATGTATATAACTCAGATTTAAAAATTCACTACCGCCAAGAATAAAAACGAGTTGGCTGATAGATAAATCCATTTGATCCTACAAGTTAATTCGAAAATACATTTTATACTCAATATTTTAAAGAAGTGAACAGGTAGGTGGAAATAAAAAAAAATGAAAACTAAAATTTTATTAACATGATTACATTAACATTATAACAGAACAATTTGTCACTATGTTACACACAATTTTTTCATCTACACACACTTATTTTTCTCAGTTCAAATAGTTGCGTATGCGCAATCATCAAAACGTTCATACGGCTTGGGCTTGAAAAACTGTAGCTGATAGGCATCTAGATTACCGGAGGAACTAAAGTATTTACAGTACCAGTCATAGACCATTTTATGTTTTGAGTATAGCTCATTTACAGCAATATCTACACGGTTAATTTCAACATCTGACATCTTGGGCAGGCCCATGCTTCTTACGATCCCCGTGCCAGTTATTTCCACAGAATTTGCGATAAATCTGAAGATAAAACTGCTTGTTCATTTCCAGACTTTGTATTTTACCACAGTATTTTGCATTTATTTACAATAAAGTAATGACCACATATTCCGATAAAATCGTAGTCGATTTAAAGTATAAAATAAAAATATTTGATCGTAAAAATAGAAATTAAATAAAATTAACCTGGAGGGTGATATTACTTGGCCACCGTCAGTTTCAACAAACCCTGTAACTCGCGGCACGTCTTTGCATAGCAGCGCCCAAGCCACTTTAGTAACTAATCTAGTTAAGGCATGTGCTTCACTGAGTTCTGCAGCTCTAGCACAATTGCCGTCATATCTGCTCACTGCCAATGGAGCGCTGCGGACTGCCTGCGTCATCATTCCAGAGTTTTGCTGCAATATAAAATTGGATTTTGCGATTTTCAATACCTTATCATATTAAAGTTTTCTGTACGATCGATAGCATTTGTATGGTATTAGTTATTAGACTGGCATTGACCTTTCATAAATGTTGTAGAACATTATATTCGCAAGTTTAGCAAACAAATTATGTTTGAAATTTGAGTAAGATATAATATTTTTTGTTTATTACACTACATGAGATAAATATATTTTCAATAAACTGAAGAAACAAAAGGAGTATCAAGCAAATATTACCTCACTGAAATCAAAATAATCCAAAGCCCTCGAGAACAAAGGCACTAACGAGGGTCCCTCAGTGCCTCCGACGCACGGTACGTGAACATAGCTGGGCTCGAGACAAAGGGCTCGAGCGGCGAGCGTACTTGCACGCATCTCCGGGACCGCGAGCGATCCTAACAGTTTTTTGGGGTTATACCACCCTGTCTCTTTAAGCGTCTAAAAAGGCTTAAATCGTTATTTTGAAATCGCTATCGAAGTGGAAATTGGAATTGTAAAATGAAATTAACAATTAGAAAATATAAAAATAAGTAATTGGATAAATCTTTCATATTCTCATCGGATATTACGATGAAACTTACTTGCTTCTACCAACTTCCAAATAAGCATTCTGGTAATAAAATCATTGAATATATGTAATTAAACATAATACTTTCGTTTGTTATTACAAATTAAACATTCGTGCAATACAGACTGTACGAGTATATATACTGGTTTTATAAAATCGCTTATTTTGTTAAACTTGGAGGAAAGTACTGAATCTTAAGAACTTGATTCGCTCCAATAAAAACAATCTAAGTTGTTGAGTAATAAATGTTTACTCGTTGTTTAACCACTGCGAACGCTCGTAGATTTAGATTACCCAATATTTTGCTTTTTTTGGAAAAAAAAAATACTTTGTGCAATACCTACTCGTATTTTCAATTAAAATCTGCTCCATTTTTATAATGTGAGACAAAGATTGTGAAATTTTTTCATGTCTACACAAAAGAGACTAATTATTTCTTTTAAACCAACTAAAGACAAATAGTGCTGTCTAATCATGTATACTTGTAATATAACACCTCCAATGAAGAACCTCACAGTAGTTGTTACATATAGGTTATAATGTATTGAGTTTGGTAAGAGAGAGTTCATAAAATTTTAATACCCCATAATATCAACATGAACATATAATTATAATATTTAATAATTAGGGGCTTGACGGGTACGAAAATATGCCTAGCATGTAAAATAAAACGGGATACCCATCCCATATAATCCCATGTAAATATTATAAATGTGAAAGTTTGTTTGTTTGTCTTTCTTTCACGTCGAAACGAAGTGACGGATTGACGTGATTTTTTGTGTGGAGATATTTGGAGTGTTGGAGAGTGACATAGCATTTATCGAAATTCATCCTGTAAGAGGGTGAAATAGAGGACGTTTCCATCCTTTGTATGAAACTACCTTTTTAAAGATTTTTCGTTGTTTTTAGAGCGAAGTTGCCGGTTCTGCGAGTCTATACATATAATAAAATTGTAACTTAGCCAAATCTGTACATCGATATTTTCGGAAAATCTTATTGAAATAAACATTATTATCGATACCGAGGACGAATCTATAATTTTTAGAACCTTTGTCCGTCTGTCTGCCTGTTACCGCATTACAGAAAAACCACTGGAGGGATTTGATGAAATTTGATATGGTGATAGTTGGTCATCCGGGTCAACATATAGGATACTATTTACCACGGGAAAATGTCTCATTTCTGAGAAAAAATACAAAAACTTCAATGTAAGAGTATACTAATATGTAAAACCTAAGAATTTGGTTTTTGGTCATCTGAAGGCGGGCGGAGCCACGGGCAATGCTAGTATTTTATAAATTCCAAAAAAGGCAAAGGCTTTCGGTTGCTTATTCCTATATATGCCTTATTATGTACATATTACTCTTAAAACTTTTATACGACCTAACTAAGAGTGGACTGCTGATGTAAATTTACAGTTTTTTGTAGGTCATCTAATGTACAATATGTTTGGCCTTAACAGTCTGTAAAGGTCGTATGACAATGATATATGAAAAGCTAAGGTTAGTTCGATAAACTTATATTAAATTATGTAAAAACGAGAGACTCAACCTCGGCAATTAAAGGGACCATGCAATCGATTGGCGAAGCACATACTACGATAAACGCATTCGGGCATTCTTTGGCAATGGCGTCTGCGTATTGTTTGATTATTGGCGCTTGATAATTGAATCTATTCTCTAGCGACATATCCATGCTTATGCATCCATTTTCCAATATCAATACAATATCCGAATTCTAAAATAAAAAAAAAATTAAACCTTTACAGTCACTGCAAAACTTATAAAACTAATTGATGTCAAAGGCCTAAACTTTCCAAGTACATTATTTGTGGCACCCTGTAAGGTCAATAACACTCAATCAGCCTTACGATAGTGTGTAGGCGCGGCAGGATATCGCGTGATCAACCGATACAAATTAATATTAATTTTAATTTTGGTAATAGGTTATTTACTCATAATCTCTTGCTATTGAAATAGAAAAGAGAGCAACAAAAAAAAAGAAATTTATTCATTTTGCTGTTTGTGAACTTGACTTTCTTAAAAATATGATTAATATTGAGAATGATAAAGAATAGATAGTTTATATTTAGTTGTAATAAACAAACAATAATAACGTACAATAGTAACTAATATTTATTTTTTCAATTGAGTAACGACTGAAATTCAACTTGACTTCTTAATTCGCATTTGCAATTGTTACAAATAATTTGAAAGTAATAGAACCTTCAAAAAAGAAAGTAATCACATATAAAACGTGCAAGATTTTGCGGGTGGTCGTTTACTGTATTGATTGGCAACAGACTGAGGTCGCCACCCTCACTTGCTTGCTTGAAAATACCACATAGAAAATGTATGGCACTATTGTGTTCGCCGATTGCCTTACTTTTTTCCAATACGATGAATAGACAATCGACATATATTTTTTTATTTGATGTTAAGTGACGTGCACCTCTTTACTACCTACCTACCAAGATCCACGGGATTCAATCGTTCTTGGAATAAAATATGTAATAATATTTAATATGTTAATGAGTAACCAGGTACTTGTCAAAAGTTGACAAATATAATATAGAAAAAAGTTAGTATGTCTCTCGTGGGTAGTTGCCAATAAATAAAAAGTTCATTACACTACAGTGTTAACTATAGAATAATTAAGAGTGTATATTCTAATATATCATGTTCAAATTGGAGCAAAACGGAAATTTGATCTCAAACTTATGAAGACTTGGAAGTTGAGTGCACTTTAAGATATGCAAATTTTGGACCAAACACCAGTGTGTGAGTGGCACTTGATAAATATGAAGAAGTAAGGTTAGAATGTACTTACCTACATTCTATTTATTTATATTAGTAGTAATAATTAATTAATTGTAGATACCCGATGCTATTATAATTTTTATTATATCCAAATAACAAAAAAGATAATTTTCTGTTAAAAATCCAACATATCAAATTATAATATGTATTTAAAACGCGAATAATAAAAGTAATTAATTCAGACAAAAAAAATTAAAAAATAGGTTTTATATACGCTTATTAAGATTGTAGGTGTTCAGCCCTTTTTAACGTCCCACGGCTGGGCACGGGCCTCCCTTCAATACGAGGAGGATCAGGCCATAGACCACCACGCTGGCCAAGTGCGGGTTGGCAGACTTCACATGCCTTTCGAGAACTTAAAAGGCTAATTCTTTCAGACATGCAGGTTTCTTCACGCTGTTTTCCTTCACCGTAAGACAAGCGGTAATGAAAATGTCAAAAGTGCGAGGCCCGGGATTTGAACCCACTTCACTCGGTTCCCCAAGCAAGCGCGTTACCACTGGGCTACCACTGCCTTTTTAAGATTGTAGGTAGTTTGACATTATTCCTAAGTTTCGATGACTTTTATAAATAATAATAATGCTAAAAGATTAGTATGCAAAATGCAAACCTGCAGACATTTGTCTAACTCATTGCAGACACAACTATAGGCTTGCACAATACAATTAGTGTCAATGTGTTGAATGTCTTGGACTACTTTACAAAGATCTCGATTACATTCTGAACATTGTGTATCTCTTGTTTGATATAAACGTAATCTGGAATAATTAAACTAATTATATTAAAGAATATAATAAAGAATCATTCTATGGAATTATCCAAATACTATAAATGTAAATGTAACTATGTCTGTCTGTTTGTTACTTTTCACATTTACAGCAAACTTTACTAAAAAAATTTGGATAGAAATCGGTAAAAATATAGATTGGCTTATATAGACGAATATAGGCTGTACTGCACTTCACCCTCGTCCCACTTACCATGCAAGCAGAGCTGTGGACAAAAATTAATCCATACTAATATTATAAATGCGAAAGTAACTGTGTCTGTCTGTTATCTTTTCACGCTTAATCCGCTGAACCGATTTAGACGAAATTTGGTATGTAGATAGTTTAAGACCCTGGAAAGGACACAGGATATATATATACCTAGGGACGAACGCGAGCGAAGCGAGAAAGTGAAACAACTAATGATGAATTTAACCTACTTCTAATTGTCACATTGACTAGAAACTTTGCAAGTATTTCTATTTCCGTTGATAGTACAGTGGTTCGGTGTTGTTGACCTGATCTGATGGCAAGGCCAGAAGGTGGATAGGTGGAACTCTTCAACGGCTAATAGTAGATACTTTGAGTTTGGGCTTATTTTGTTTGATTTGACAAGCCTAACACGTTAGAATCCTTGCTTTGCTACTACTGTCTACACTAAAAAGGGAAAAATAAAAACTTTTTTACAAAAAAATAAAAACCGACTTCAAACAAAAGCACTAAAAAGTAAAAAATAACTGATTGGTAGTTTTCATTTACTATACATACCTAATCAAATATTTTCGAAGTCGGTGTGCTTTGGCTAAGTAATTAAAGCCTACCTATTAAATTATAAATACATACCTAATCAAATATTTTCGAAATCGGTGCCAGCCCATACAAAGCAAAGCGACTTCGAAAATATTTGATAAGTATGTATAGTAAATGAAAACTACCAATCAGTTATTTTTTACTTTTTAGTGCTTTTGTTTGAAGTCGGTTTTTATTTTTTGTTAAAAAGTTTTTATTTTTTTATTTAAATATCTACAAAGACTCAAGGTGGTTGACGTTTAAATTATCGAAGAGTCTCATTTGATAGAGTAAAAGATACTTTCATCAGTTTCCTAGCTGTAAAGTTTGCAATAAACAGTGAAGCGGTCACGACTTATCTCATAAAATCCAGACTACTTTTATTACATTCTGTGAATAATCCGTATAATAGCATGTATAAGGCTTCTGTAAAAGTTTGATGGCTACCTATTCTCGATGTCCCGGCGAGTTCACGTACTGTGAATGGGAATTTTTATGTGCGTGTTGGCGTTTTAAATGAAATGTCAAACCTCAGTTCCCGTTTGGTTACCGCCACTTAGAAATGCTTGTAGCATGCGAAGGGTACAGTCAAAGAACAGTGGATGTCCTTATGAATATATTATGAGAAAAATGCAATTTAAAATTTAGAAGTAGGTATAACATTTTTATTGAAATCAAAGTATATAGTAACTTTTTGTACTATGTTGATTTTTGGTCAATCTTCCTTCTTTACCGGTACGTCATGGACATTCCCAGTTGACATCCGTTGAGTATTTGTAAAAAAAAACCAGTGCTTGGGAATGCAAGTACCATGGACATAGATTTGCTACCAGTACAAAACAAAAATCCCCTGTCTTTTACCCTTCTGTTATGATTTATATAAGAACCATTGTATGAACTAATTTATGTATTCACGAATTATTCTGTACATATTTTGTTTGACAATTTCACTTAATTTTATAGCGTCAAAAAAATTGGCGGCAAAATTGTGTAAAAGTTGAGTAAAATGAATAATAATTATGTAGGAAACGATTCCCGTATATTTTGCCGTTGGAACTTTGGCTCAAGAAAGCTTTTAAAGTAAAACGTCCATATAGTTTTTAAGTAGTTAAAAGGCAATTTGTGGTTTTTGTTTGTTATGTTGTCAATAGTGTTTTAAAAATAGACGCAACAATGAACGAAACAATAGGTAATGCAGCACAGACTTCACTTCTGCCTGTTTTAAAAAAATGGATGTACCGGAAGACGATATTAAAAACTTAAATAAAATATGCAGTATAACAAGTAAAAGTTTATAGTGCTAAAATATTAAGAAACACAGTTATTCGAACAGTGTTGGTATATTTATTATCCCTAAAGGATTACTCAGACATAACGGAATTATGAGCCATAAAATGTCATTTAGTCCGTTGTGATTTATCAGAAACGTCTCAACTTATACTATTGGGGATTGATATTGTAAGGTTGTATTTTTATATATAAGTTTTAATGAAAAAATAATATATTTGATTAATTTGTAATGATTTATGTATAAAGCCTTTATTTATGTGACCTTGGCTTTAAAAAAAAAAGGACGCGGATATTCATTTGTTTCCCGCTTTTTTTTAACAGAGATATCGGTTTGACCACCTTGTAGTGAAGTGTTTGTAATACTGTAAATTATTATTAAAGATTATGTAACTCATTATTTAAAAGAGCAACTGTTGAGTTTCTCGTCGGCTGTTCTCAGCAGAACTGCTTTCCGAGCCGGTGGTAGCTTCTACACAGACAGAGGTATTGACGATTTTAAAAGAATTAAGTTGATGTTCTAAAAGTACTGAATAAAAGAATATATGCAAGGAAGATCTCGAAGTTTTATTGATATCATCCTACAATATTAATATTAAGGACGAGTCAAACCTTTAATGTATGTCTTTTTTATGCAAAAACCTGAAAGTCTTATAAAGAAAACCGACAGTTGTTTCATTCTTTTGCTACAATTTTGATTTATATGACAAAACACTTACAATATTGTACTCTTTATAGCTCTTTGTGGAGTACAGAAACTTTAGTATAATGGATGAAAAGCCATAGGAGTTTTAGGCGGAAAATTTATTCTATTATAAAAGATTATAAAAGTAAAACGGTTTTACCATAGAATTTGATATCGTAAAATAACATTTACTTTGTGCTTAGTTATAAAAGTTAGTAATGTATTTCACAAACCAAAATTATAATATAAATATTATAACGTCTCCTAAACCCCCAATGTTTCGAGGCGCTCATGTAAATAATCGCTCTCATAAATTAGGTTCATGTTGAGACGGGAAGATGAACAGTCCCAGAAGGATTCGCCAGCAAGGGTCGAGTAAAACCATACCGTGAATGGTCACTGAAAGCTATCACTTGTAATAAAATCATGTTTAGACGTATTAAAACGTCGTTTAGATGAGTCATCATATAAATAAGATAGAAGCGTATGAAACTTATGCTGTTCAATTATAAGATAATCCCTAGACGACCGCGGACACGCCGGCGTTACAGTTAACAATAGATTTCTTAGAAATTTAAGAATTTTACCTGGACGTGTTATTTAATTTAAAATAGATTTTGTATTTTAGATAAATAAAAAGCAAAATTATAATAAAAAACCTTAAAACCCATTTATACCATACGTAAACATAAACCCATATATAGGTATGTATGTACCTCTATTGTGCTAAAAAATGTTTCTAGCTAAGTATAAATCCACGGAAGAAAAATATGTTATGCTTACTTTTTTATACAAGGGCATTGTTTTAGTAAAAGAGCTATGTACTGGCCAAGATTCGTATCTGCGCCAAGTACCGATACTTGGACGCCTGGCCGAGGTGGCGGTAGTGGAGGTACTTTTTTACTGGGAGGTGGCAACGCCTTCGGTTCAGGTATCTCCATCTCTTTGCGCACCTTTTCTTTACATTGAAGGCGACGAAAGGGAGCTATGAATTAAAAAAAAAAGATAAAACGTAAAGATTTTAAATCAGCTAGAAGATAAGTTTGGAAAGTTGAAAGTTTTAAAAAGCCATTGTTTAGCAGCTGTAGCGAAAAAAAACAGAAACTTACTTCCGAAGTTTGTTCCGCCTTCTATGATTTTTAACTTTATTTTATGCAAAATACTATCCTTCCTTTTGCCCCATCTGTTACAAGGCTCAGGGCATACGGGATTTGGATCCGGTGGAATATCTACACATGCTCGTCTACAACCATCGTCGTTCACCCCTTTTTTGTACCCACGACACAACGTGCTATGACTTGTAAGTATCGCGCATGAACTAAGAACTGTATCACAAAAATATTTCGTCTTCATCAACACTTTAGATATTTCCATTTTATTCAATAATAAATTAGTTAAAATACTTAATAAATTGATTTAATTTATATTTTATATTATTTTTGATCTATTGTTTTTGTAAAGCCAAAGGATATGTTTGAAAAAAGTATTGTTATTGTGCAGAATAGATAATTTGTATTGAATATTTTTTTTTATAAATTAAGAAGTGAGATATTGTCAAAAGTGATTTTTAGGTAACGACCAAGAAGTATCGATAGAAATAAAAGGGGAAAGTGCTATAAAAGGAACTAGCTCAGAATCGGATAAATTAAATTTACGGCACTAGGAAAGAAGTAGTAAGTAGATTTTTGTTTTCTACATTTTACCAACATTTACTCCGTAGCAATACTTGACGTAATAATATCATTTGGTTTTGAAAAGAAAGAAAATGGCAAAGCGTGGTTTAATTATTTCGTGAGTAAAAGTATTTTATTCGTTGTTTGTAAAGTTTATTTATTAGATTATTTAAATAATATTTGACAGTTATTGTACCGCTAAATTACCAATGGTTTAACTACTTAAAAGGTCAGTGCACAATAATACAAAGTTATTTGAAAATCTTTTTGCTGTGAGGATATTTTGATAATACATAGTATGAAACTTGTTTGGGACAATTAAATAGGCCTTGCAAGGTACGAAAAAGTAGTACTTGAGGCAGAACTTAAACATTATAGATGAATAAATATAGTTACGTTATATATAAACGCTTTTTATTATACCTCATTTATTGCTCAAAATCTTTACATTAAAAAAATATCCCGTTCATGGCACCTTTCCCATAATAATATACTTATTTAAATTGTTACATTAGTTTTAGTTTAGCAAACGTTGACTGCTATTTTATTACTTTGCAAAGCTTTACAACGTAGGGAAGTACAAAACCTAATAAATCTACCGTTGATGAGTTCGTGTAGTAAATGAATGTAGGCTCGTTCCAATAGTTTCCGACATATTTATAGTAGTATAAAGCGAATCGAGAGGGAAAGTGCCTACGGCAGGCAATGCTCTACGTTGGCACTGTCGTATTTATAGGATACTCGCGACTATTAAAGTTTTAGATCTATTAGAAGATATTTCGTTGTTGGGAAATTTTACTAAAATTTAAATATAGCTCTACAGTTTTATTGAAAACTAGCGGCTCTAGAAAAACAAAAACATATCTATCCCTCGGGAACCGTATATTTTTCCGGGATAAGTACCCCTAGCCTATATGTTATTCCAGACTATAAACTATCACTGTGTCAATCCATATATACTTACAAACTTTCACATTTATAATATTAGTATAGATATAGATTAAAATCAAATTTAGTTATTGAATGAAGTTTTTGTTTGTTTTAACTATAAAAACTATAAATCATATATACCTATATAATATATTTTTTGGATTTGGAAAAAAATCTATTAAATGTGTAATTTCTATGATTTTTTATATTACATAATGGTGTATGTAAAATAATGTAAAGTTACCAAAGTTATTAAGCCATTCGTTGTGGACCTGACAGACGTTCTGGCTGTCTGAATAAATTAGATTGTTATCTTTTAGTACATACAAAAAAAAACTAGCTAAGAGAAAATTGCGATTTTTTAATCGATTATAAAACTATATATATTTTTAAATAAAATAATCCATTTCCCGTTCTTCGTTTTTATCGATGGTACATAATTTTATAATCAAGATAAAAAATTTTGTATTAGTGATTTTTTTAGGTATTACTCTCTAGTACACTCTCTTTGTGTGACTCTTGATCAAGTAATTTTAAGAACTTAACTTTTTGACCCTAACACTAGTACAATAAACTATTTTTGGATAAAAAGAATATATTTTTCACAACAAAGTCGTAACTGACCTCTCGGAAGCAGCAAAGCTTTTACTGACAACGTCATAACGAGAAGACCAATTACAGTTGAGTGGCTCGACCCGCTTTGGCCTAAAGAATATCATTTACATCAATCCCGAGGCAAAAAGTTCAACTTTTCCTTGCGGTTACACTAAAATAAAATCGGCTGTGATCAAAAACTGGAAGTAATTGCGAAGTTATTGCACAGGGAAGCCTTTGAAGCCATCACAGAAGGTTTTATCTCAAATCCTGTCTCGTGAAATTTTCTTTGTTGATAGACTCACGATTTATGAATAAAAAAATAAGTAGAGTGGGCCATCTTTGTATTTGTCAGTCATCAACACATTATAATATTAAAATTTAAAATCGGAATTCATTTACCCCACACATTCGAGATTGGACTACCCATATTCTTTTACGTAAAAAATGCCTATTTCTTCTAACCAGTACAAATATACAGACAAATAAGGCTCTGATAGAGAGATCCTAGCACCCTAAAGAAGCCAGGGTGGTTCGCTTATGTTAATTGAAATATAGTAACATACCATAGATTTATAATCAACTAGCAGAACCCGCGGCCCTTTCGTCCCATATTTTCCCCCCTTATGGGATAAATTTCGAAAAATGCTAAATCGCGTATTTATTTAATTATATTAAAGAGTATTAATAATAAGTTGCAAATAATTCTGATCATAATTTTTTTGGATTGTATTATAAAGTGTTTTCCCGCGGGAAAGAGATAATCTCTCCGTCACTGCGTTTCGACGTGAAAGAAGGACAAACAAACTAACAATCAAACACACGTTCACATATTTTATAATATTAGTATGGACTAGCGATAGGTACTTACCCATACAAACTTATATCCCCACTTTCACCCCCTTAAGGGATAATTTCCGGGATAAAGTATCCTATGATCCTTCCCAGGGTCTCAAACTATCTTCTTACCAAATTTCATCTTATCGGTTCAGTAGTTTCTCTTAATATATACAATACCTACAATAAATTTAAGCACAAACTATTAGAATATTATTTATCCAAGCTGTGATTTAAATATAGATATAATAATTTTTATAAAACTATTGATTACTAATTATCTAAAATCAAATTATTATTGTTTTTATCTTTACTTTATTTTATATTTTAAATTATGTTGTTTCTAATTTTTGTTAATTTTGTATTTTTTATCAATTACTAAATAATTTCATAATAATATAAATGCTATGTACACTTGTTATTGATATGCATGTCTGATTCTTTTTTTTCACTTTAATTATTGTATTGAATTGTTTAACATGTGTATTGTAAGTGTGCTTATTAATAAATAAATAAATAAATAAATATATATATATATATATATATAGGTATATCTAATAATATTGGTTAATCAAACTAATAAATAAAAATAAATAAACTAATCTATAGTTAATAAGTCAAGCTTTGCCACGGATTTCGATGTAGTATTATTTCGATTCTAGTGCCTGCCTTATCAGATGTGGTTTTGTTATAATTAGGGATTTTGAAGAAAAAATATTAAAATAATATTTATAATAAACGTTCGTTTTGACGATTAGTATGAAATATATTTTTTTGAATTTCTCGGCTTTTCTGTACTATAATATGCATGTGATATACATATAAACCTTCCTCTTGCATCATTCTATCTATTACTAAATTTGCATTAAAATTCGTTAAGTAGTTTAAAAGATCTAAGCGAATAGACAGCGGAAGCGACTTCATTTTATACTATGTAAAGAAACAAAAATTAAAAGATAATATAGCTATTAGGAACTTATACATATATGTACACATGTATATTATCTATCTATTAGGTACTATCTTTTATATTTTTAGCAATTTCGCTATACAAGGATGACGTGTTTGAGCACGAGGGTCGCATTACGTAAAGCATGGCTGACGTTCATCAAATAGGACGCCCATTTGACGGGCGTAAATGTCATGACTCGTGATCCCATTCGCCAATTGATTCTACAATAAAATGTCTACCCACGTCTGTAATGATTACAGTCGGATGTGCCATAAAGATTACTAGTAACTGAAAAAACCTATATTTTATTATACATACATAATATTTTAGTTAGCCATTATGCACCTTATCAAACATCGAAAAAGAATCTGTTTTTAATTAATATACGTTTACATACTGTAATAGCGTTGTTTTATGTAAAAAAAATTATAAATTTATTGTTGAATAATTAAAATTTGTTTTCCATTTTCTTTATAGGCGAGTGGATCTTATTACTAAGTATGGACATTTTTTAAAATTTATTATTTGCTTTCTTAAATTAAAAAAATATATGAATATTTCCCAAAATATTCAGACACTTTCTCGCAGTTAAAGTCTCGATACGATAATGTAGTATCAACAATGAAAAAAATCAATATTTTAAGCAATATGGTGGCAAAAGTTCGCTCTAAACCCTGTGTATATTATATCATCCAATACCTACCAGCATTGCACTAAAAAGTTTTATAGAATATTTTATTTAGGTACATATTAAGTGAAAATGCCATTAAGATACTCTACAAACGATTAAAAAGGTTATTTGGAATAAAAATGTGTAGAAGATAAAGATAATTCATTTAATTATAATATTATAAAGTGTAGCCTTTATACGTATTTAAGCGACCTGGTGGCCTGTGGCCCACTCCTATTTCTATAATAGTGGACTAGACCCTGGAAGTAATCTCGTGGTTATTGTGATCACTGATCTGCCTCGGCAGGCGGCCGTCTTTGCATCGTGGTTGAGTTCGTAGCGATCCTGCGACCATTAAGACGGGAGAGATTCTGTAAAATTTTAGAGGATCGTACTGTCGCGGTCGAATGCGCAAGCGATCCCGTGGCCCTGTCTCTTGCGATAGGGATCACCGTGTTGGTTTTAGTGGGTAGGCTGTCGCGCTTCTCGCGACAGGAGTCCCTCATACCCCGCGCGCCCCCCGCGCGCTGTCTCCCGGAAATGGGGTTTTCGCACGAATCAAAGAAAAAAGGGGGTAGTACTGGCTTTTCTTGGTCGTAAGTCCCACAAATTTACCTGTATGTATGTACGTGGTATGCGTAATGCATTTTTTCATTTCTCATTAGACATACGTAGATACTCAGTATGTTTAGTTGTCTGATGAAATTAGACAATTACCTTAAAAAGTAGATAGTAATTTATGATTGCTTAACAAAAAGGTCTATCTACTTTAAAATCATTATAAATATTATGCTATGAGTCATCTTTTTTCTGCTTTTATGAGATCATCCTCGAGTAATCAACCAACATATTTATTAAATAATCAGTAAAATCAGATAAAAATTGGTGAAAAAATAATACAGGAAAAAAGGAAATACATACACATTAATTTACAGTAGCTCCTCATTTTTCGAAGTCGACCAGCAAAAATATGGGAGTGTTCCTGACTTACTCGTTTTTTGTATCTGTATACTATAATGTGAGAATATTTTTTTTTACTGCAGTAGTTTGTTTTATATGACTCATGCAACTGCGAATCGTATGTGCAATTATGGAACACGTTCCTGTTATAAAATAATTTCTTTTGTGAAACAATCTCTAATTTCACGAACAAATATTTACTACTTTTTTTCAGAGAAGTTTTATAATGGAAGGTCACACACCACATCGCGTGTCTAACTCGTCCATTTGTGTCTACTGAAAAATGACCATTATTTTGCGTGATTCGCTAAGAGGTTATAGGTTGCTATGTGAGCTTTATATTTCAGGGTTGTTATAAAAATCCAACACTAATTGGCTTAAAAATAGTTTGATAGTGAAAAATCCTTCATGTTCATTTTTGAACTTTCGTAGAAGAGTACAGAAGGTATGAGTAGGTATTCTGAACTGCAAACTGAGAGAAATCAATTTTATATTAAACACTGTGTGATATATTGTGGCATGTGTCTCTTTTTCATTGGCTATGACCACAGATTAGCCATACTAAAATAGTGAACGTGAGAGTAACTCTCGATAAAATTTGGCAGATATCTATCACGCCGTCCCGCTTACCATGCGAATGTGGTTGCAGGGAAAAATAGTACTACATCCATATATGTATTCTTCGTCTATTACGATGAAAGTAGCGCCTAATTTGATGATATGACTTCAATACAAATGTATGGATCGTGCAAACTATCTCAGTCTGATTAAAATCGTCCGATTATTTAAACATAACACGTGCTGTCTTAATGTGCGGTTGTGCACAAAGAAGAGTTTTTTATGTTCTCAATCCATTAGCGCAACCCGTTCACAGACAATCTGAGTAAAAATCAATGACCGCGATCCAGATTGATGGTTTACGAAGTAGTTTGACGGATTGATGCATCTGATCACAAATTATCTAAATATTTTAAAATTAAGATCGTGATCCGCAGATCATGATTAAGATTGAACGTGTAAGCGAAGCATCGCATCAGTCAACGCTGTGCGATATCTATCGAACCGGTGAATTCATCTTCACTCCCCCAATTAGAAGAAGATTTCATCATACTTTTAGAACAGTTACCACGGCTATGGAATGCCGGACATGATAATTATAAAAACAAACACAAGCGAGAAGCTGGATATGAAAAGTTGCTTCAGCAGTTAGTTGAATTTCTTTTAGTAGAATTAAATGAGTGTATAATTTTCTCTTCAGTAACCACTGTTTAAACTAGCGCCTTTTTCGAATCCTTTTCATCAAACGAAATCAAATCACTCGTTTTTTTATATGGTTTCGCCCGATTCAAGCCTGGTTCTCTTCATTTATTTAAATGTGATATTAAATTGAATTGAAGTGATCGTTGAACTATTATCTACTACTACTGCAAACATCTTTATAAGCTTTTACAACAATTACAATGATGCTTATAATAATTAATAATAATAGAACGAGAAACTGTAACTTTCGCGTAAGTGACATAGACTATTTTTGACGGGTGTACGTTTTTTTTTCATGTAGATAGGTGTGTCACGCAATATATTTGTTAATTGGAAACCAATTTTAACGATTCTTTTTGTTTAATTCTAATACCTTTAAACGAGCAATTCTTTTACATTTATTTATAGCGGCGATCTCGGGAAACGCCTCTAACGATTTCGCTGAAATTTGGTATGTGGGGGGTTACGGGGGGAAAAATCGATCTTACATTAGTCTTATATCTGGGAAAACGCGTGCTTTCGAGTTTTCATGCGGTTTTCTTTCGCATTATTCCACGCAAAATATGGTCGCACGCTCGGATATAACCATCGTGGTCAAGCGGCCAAGACGAAAGATTGACAATCACATGTGTCCAGGTTCGAATCCCAGTCGGATACAAAGTTTTTACTCTTGTTTTTTTTGTATTTATTCAAGTTTTTAATTTTTTTTTATCTAAAAAATACGATATAATAAAAAAGAACTCCCTTTTAATCTTTAAATTATTTAGTCTCATAATAACCATCTTTAATTCAATTAGTCTCATATAAAAATTTCTATTTAACAATATTTTGTGATACACGATTAATGCTAGCTTACTTTTCATAATCTAAATTGAAATAAATAAATTATTCATTTATAGGTCGTTCAGATCTGGTTGAAAATGTTTTTTTCAGCTGAAATCTAGGTCGCCTACGTGATGTTATCTTTGATGCATAAAATTATAAATGTGAACCTTGGTACAATAAATAAATATTACAGATTAAATAAATTAGATTGAGCTAATTACACATTAAATTATAAATTATGTTGAATATATTTTATAATATTATTATATTTTATTAGTATAGGTAAAATATTAATATAGTGTATATGTGTTGAACTTTAATTTATACTAGCGAATCACCCTCGTTTCGCTCGGATTCGTCCCTGGCTTGCTTCCCCATACAAACTTTCATCCTCATTCTCACCACCTTAAGGGCTTAAAGTTACTTCACTCACTCACTTTTCATATCATGAGATTAAAAAAAACTTATTTTAGTTTTTTTTCTTCTATTCAAAACTTTTCCTGATAAAAACAAAAAAAAAAGAATTATCCAATTTGGAGCAGTCGATGGGAAGTTATGCGTGTACATACATTTGATGGTGATTCATTTTTATTTATAAAGATTTGTAACCTCTACAATGTGAAATGAATGTCGGTTTTTTTATTCAATTTAATTAGTCAAATTAATTTAATTAGACAGATAGATGTAGTAGCATTGCCCGCGGCTCCGTCCCCGTTCATATGTCCAAAATCCAAATTCTTAGGTTTTACATATTAATATACTCTTACATTGCAGTTTTTGTATTTTTCTTAGAAATGAGACATTTTCCCGCGGTAAAAAGTATCCTGTATGTTGACCCGGATAACCAGCTATCAACATACCAAATTTCATCAAAATCCCTCCAGTAGTTTTTCTGTGATGCGGTAACAGACAGACAGACAAACAGACAGACAGACAAAAATTCTAAAAACTATCGATAATAATGTCTATTTCAATAACATTTTTTCCAAAAAAATATTGAATGTACAGATTCGGCTTAGTTACAATTTTATTATATGTGTAGATTTAGGCATTATGAAAATGATAATGCTGCTATGAGGTCGCCGGTCCAGATGGCAGATATAATGAACAAGAGATTAAATACTTGGCTTCATTTTGCGATTCTTAATGAAAAGTGTATAATAAATGAGAAAACTTCTTACGTATTGTTTTATGTTTCCTTTACGATGCTCTTATAAATTCATATTTTAAGTTATTTCCCATAAAAAGAACACGGCGAATCCATATTTTGTACTTTATTACATTGAAAATACACATTTATTATTTTTTAGATACTACGGGATAAATAGATTCGATTACATAGAACGTTTACCTAGTGTTCGTTCGTGTAGAAGTCAAAACTACAACTTCTTGTGTACTTGACCAATGTATAGTTTAGGCGGACATTAGGATTATACCTAATTGTTATTTTTACATGTTTTTAGCATTTTATTAAGAAATTTATTTAATGTAAGCATTAGGTTAATTTATTTTGTTTGGAGAAATCCTTTATATAGGTGACGTTTGTTTAATTCTCCTTAATTAACTCATTACTATTTATTTTATGCTCATCTTGGCAATTTATCTCTTATACTCGTATGATAACTTACATTTTTCACCTTTTATAATAAATAGACACATTTTTTTGGATAATATTAATCTTAATATATAAACAGACATTTTTAATATGTTAAATAATATTATTTTATTATTTATTTACAATAAAAGAAGTATATTGAAATTACAAAAATACATAATAATAATATGTATATACAAAATAAATGTACCCTTAATTATTACTGTACAAGTCATATTCGCGCGGAATTGTGCCAAGAATGCTAGACACATTCCCCTGCTGAATGGCAATGCAAACAAACAACAAAACAAAATAAATTATCGTAATAGTGTATGGTACTCACGATTTTAGTGTTGAGGTGCATAAGCTCGCGCTCGGTGACGCGGCGCCGCGCGGTCTCCATTTGCTGTTGTCTGTATTGGTTATACTTGTACAGCAAGTACATTCCGGGCAGAGCCAGCACCACGAAGGGGCGCATCAAGCTGGACGATGACGTAGCACGTTGAGGCATCTTATCAACATTTCCCCCATTTAAATACTAACACTTTTCCTCTCGACAGTACTCGATGAAACCAATATGGTTAATTGAATATTCCGTACCACCTTTGAGACCATTTTGCACAGTTTATTGTTTTATATTACTTTTTAATGGAAGATTTTTTATTGAACTTATATTAACACTTCCTATAATGTCAAGATTTATGGGGTTTCTAAATTTATTATTGCTTTTTTATAATAGACCTTATTTACAGCACGCTTCACGCTACCACGCTTTGATTCCTGAAACAAAAGGAGAAAATATTAGATGACATATTATTTATTTCAGAAGCTCCATATAAAATTAAATAGTTTTTTAGACTTCTTGCCGAGTCTAGTTTTAGCTAGATACGTACTAGTATTTACATTGTCAACTTTTTTGGAGATAAAATAAATATTAATCATTATCACATATTAATATTATACCTAAATGTAAAAACCTATTTGTTTACAATATTTGACCTACTTTCTCGGCGAAGTCGTAGTATTCTAGTGATTTGTGGTCATTTGTGTATGGATATGGTTACAGAGGACTGAAGAGTAACATAAGCTACTTTTTACCACAGTAAAATATCTATCTCATTTCCCCAGAAAAAACTAACAATGCATTAAACTGATTAAATAGTTATGGAAACATAATATGGTAAGTACATGCAAAAGTTCTTAGGGACGTTAGAATTATTTATATAAAACTCTTAATCTACTTAAATATTCCGTAATAAAAGACGCTACATACACATAGACGCTCGATCCAATAGATTAATATTGTAGATAAGGCTGTTGACCGAAATGTCGTACATGCTAGCAGACTGACCAACAAAACAGTTGACCTAAGAACCTTTTCAGCAGGGTAATTAATTTTATCAGTATGGAATGAATCTTTATACTCGATTAAGAATATTTTATCTGCTACTTAAAAAGATTATAAAGGGAATCAAAAAAGAATACCATTCTAAAATTTGATAAAATTGTCATTCATATTTTTTAATATTAAAGAACATCTCGATTATTCAAAGTTTGGTGCAGCTTAGGCTTCAATTTAGTCGACATCAGCGGCGGAGAAATCGATTTAGGCGGCAAATTAGATTTTAACAAAGTTCCCGTCCAAGGGTAATTGCTGAAACCTAAAATAGAGGTAATAGCACGGGAATGGGCTGATTGATCGCTTCCTTTAGAGAATGAAGTTGACAGTCCGATTATAAAAATAATACTGCTATTGTAAAGCGTATTATGATGCGCTTGATTTTATTATGGGTAAAATATATACGGATATATGTTTGTCATTTTGAAGTGTTTACTTTATATTTGGGTTTTTTGTTATCATTATCAAAAAAAAGTTTTATGTATACTTTTAACTTACTAGGGACTTTCTGCCGCTTTGCTTAGTTGCGTCCCTTTTATTATTTTTGGGCGGAACCCTAATTCTTTTTTTTTAAATAAAGGCTCCGCCCGCATAGTACATTAATCACTAACATATCATATACTAAAACCTTCTCCGAAACACGCTGCGTCTTATGGTATGAGTCTTATTCTGATCGGTTTAGTAGTTATCGCAGTATAACCGAACAAACAAAACGTCTCTCCATTTATTAGTTTAGATAATGCCAATGTAAGTCTCGTCAAAATCAGTCAAACCGTTAACTTTTTTATCATAATAGTTTAAACATGAATATATAATCTTCAAAAATATGCGAACACTATATGAAATTATGTATATGTTATAGTCAAAGTCCGATACACAGTCTCTTCGCGGAAGGACTGGTTTATCCTAGGTTTGGCCAAAGCCATCTGGCAATCCCCGAAATACATTTCAATTTCGCCCTTTGCCTGAAGTATTTTTAGTCAAACCCAGGAGCTCCTAACTTTTCAGTCAAACGTCGAAAGTAAATTATTCTGTTTCGGTTTTGGCCTAGTCAATCCTAGAAGCGACTGCAAAACTCGGTCAAACGTTGATCTGAACATGTTTAAACAGGTTCATAATGTCTCTCGCGGTGTTCCGACCGATTGTTTTGTCATTTCATGTTCGTTCATTGAGCGTGCGGGCGTGTAATTGTGTAAAATTGAAAACGAGTGAATCAAACGGTGTTGTTGTTACTAAAAACGTGGATAAAGAAGCTTTAAAAGTAAAGTTTAAAGAGAAAATTTCTAATTTGAATAAAAATAAGTGTTCATTTCACATAAAAAACAAACAGTTGTATGAGCAGATTATCAGTGAGGTAGAATCCGCTAAAGTAGCTAAAAAGAAAACGTCTTTGCAGTATCGCCGTCTCTAACGCTACGACGTTGTTTGTTTTGGGGACGAAAAAAAATTGATTAAGCCATTGTCAGATACAAAAAATATACAATACTACGTTACGGATGACGAGTTATTCGATGTGATTGAATGTGCTCATCAGGAATGTGGTCATGGTGGTAGAGATCTCACATTGAAAGCTTTAAATAAAAAGTATGCAAATGTCACAAAAGAGTGCGTAAACTATTACTTGGATTTATGTGAAACGTGTCACAAGAAAAAGAGTCAGCCTAAAAAGGGACTCGTCGTTAATTACTTAAGAAATTATTAAAACAATAAACATCAAAATTTTAAAAATGTTGTTTTTTTATACCTAATCTTACAAACTAACCTCCGTATATTCCAAAGCATTTATTTATTTATTTTATACTTTATTGCACATCGTACAAAAGGCGGGCCTAATGCCACACGGCATTCTCTCAAAGCATCTCAAATATAAAAGTGAAAATCACGTAAGCTGACCAATCAGGTGTCAGAACTGGCAGAGTTAAGCGGTTCTTAAGACTTGAAAGCTGCTTAAATGATAAAATGCTTCCAAATATACGAAGATAAGACACTTCATACCTATATCGGAGTTTGACTCGTCAAACCCCGATTTAATAAAATTGTGTTTTGACTTTTGCCTGACCAAATTAGTCTCTCCCAGGTTTGACGAAAATTGTTTAGTCAAAGGCCGAAAATTTACATTTGTTTGGGCTTTGACTAAGTCATTCAGTCTGACCTGAGGATTGACCAGTCCAACCTAGGAGCGCCGGAGCTTCGGAGTTTGCCTATAACATATATAAATTATTATTTCTCCCTCGTAATGTGTTATTTCCCAATAAGTAAAGCGAAATTCCAACTTAATTTTCAAGAAATCGCCAAATTCAATTGATCTTTTTTGTGTGAAAGAGAACGTACTGAAAGGGCTCGCCCTGTATAACCCTGTGCCAGTACACCAGCTAACATATTGATGCGATACCGATCGGCTGAGTCACGACAGTCTACGTACAATACCTGTCCAAAAATGTAGCAAGTATCCAATTCCATTGAATATATATTATCTAATATGAAATCTGATAAAATATGCTAATGCTGTGAATAAAATGTAATTTAATATGAAAAAAATATTAGTGACACTATGGACTTAGAAAAAATAGAAGATGACCTTTTATTTTTAAAATCATTGAACTATTTATTCGTAACAATCTACAAGGTCTTATATACTATATTGTAAGGTGTAGACTTTAATTCCTAACTTGGCAAACTTACACAAAAATTTCTGTATTTTACAACTTGGAACGCCTTTAAAACTAAATTACTTCTAAGTATTATGTACTTCTTAATGGGACAGTTACATACAATAATGCTTTTGTAGTCCAACACAGAGCTTTCTAATACATTTTTAAAGTTTGTTTTAAAAGAAATCTAAGAGTCTTCTATAAGGTATATTTGAGTAAATAATATTAAAGAGGAAAAATGTGTTTTTTATAGTAACAGATGGATGGCAAAATCAAATAAATCTTTTCCGTGTATCGAAAATTCATCGTCATCTTACTGATAAATGGGTGTTTGTACAATTTCTATGGTAGAGTGTTGCCGTGGAATTTTTCATTTGAATAAAACATTTTTTGTATTAAAATACTTACAATAACAATAGAAAAATGAACAGTTTAAGAGTTTCATCAATAACGCATCTTAAAACTTTATACTAATGTTTCCATTTTCAATTTAATTTGTTTTAATTGTTTTGATACTTAAACGATTTAATTAATTTTATTTAGATTTAATACAATCTTATTAGGAAGCACTCAAAAAAAATTAATTATGTAATTAAATTTCACTATTTTCAGGCATATTTTACAAAAATACACTATATTCTGATGTGACATTGTTTTTCATTACTGAAAAAATAACTAATAATAGGTTTAATCATAGATCTCTATCCAAAGCATTAAAGCGTATTTTAAGCTAGACGATGAAAGATTTTCACCTGATTGCTTCGTCCGGCAGAGGCTTAGCTGTTCTAACTCTATTACTTGAATTTGCTTGGATGATGATATTGTTACAATGTAATAAGTTGAAGCAATTCTGAAATTACTTTGGTGTACCAAGTTTAATAATATTATTTTCAGTCAGATCTCAGTTATTACATATGTAATCCACACTAATATTATAAATGTGGATGTGTGTTTGTTACCCTTCTTTCATACCGAAACGCAGCGGCGTATTTGAGATTTTCGTATGGAGAGAATTGAAGTTAAATAAATATCTAGGGAATAGGGATTGACATAAAACGAAACTCCTTTTTACCGCGAGAGTAGAAAAACTCATTCTCTCGGAAAAACACGTTAAGGTACTCATTCATATACTATAGGCATTTTTTCGATATGGCTTTGTTATGTGGATTCTGAGTGGATATAGTAGTGGGCTTTGAAAGTGACATAGGTACGAGTACACTTCTGTTTGCCGTATACTGTGTACTGCTTGCGACGCAGTATAGGAATAAAGAAATTTTTTTCTGTTATTTTTCTAATTGCAATTAGTTGGTGAATTTCAAAAAAATAAAGATCATTTTCACAAACAAACACTTAAAAAGTACCATTTTCATTCAATATAATCGCAATTTATAAAATTATATTCGACATCATTCATCAAGTCAGTGTAAATATTATAATTATTAGTAAACAATATTTTCCGGGTCAACATTAAAATTTCCGATTCCGAAACGATTCCGATTTGTAAAACCATTGATAAAAACTTTTTAGTATTTAGGTAAAATTTAATAAAATAGGACACGGCAGAAACTGGGACTAATCGTTAGTATAATAGATTTATGTAAATGATGATGGCTAGAGTATGTAAATGATGATGGCTAGAGTATGTAAATGGTAAGGCATGAAGTAGGTCTGCAGGTAATGCTTAGAGGTTATTGACACAAAACTTAGCGTTTAGTCGTTATTGATTTGTT